TACACAAACCCTAGAAGCCACAGAATCCAGTAAGCATTATTCCAGCACAGAACTCCTCATCGCAAAAAGAGAGTCTAAACTGCATTTTGCAGTCTGCCTGCATTAACAGCCAGCACAGCCCCTCACAGAATATTTTCTGATTTTAAGGGGGAAAAAGACTGTGGAGTCTAATCTGCATTTTACAGCCTGCCTGCATCAACAATCAGCAACCATTATTACAGCAAACAGATCCCCAAAGGGAAAAAAAGACTTTGGAGTCACATTTTAAACCCACACATTTTAAAACAACAGAGAGGTCACAGTACACAAGCCCTAGAAGCCACGGAATGCAAAAATAAATAAATAAATTTTACATTTTAAAATTACAGTCTAATTTTCACATTTAATTTTAATTTAATATTACAGTCTACTTTTCACATTTTAAATCCACACTGCAAGACCCATAAGGGCACAGAAACATAACCCCCCAACTAGCCCCCCGCCAAGCTGCAAAAAACCCTGTACAGTACAGTAAATACTGTACAGTGTATGTACTCACCCAGAACAGGGAGTCCCTCTGTTTTTAAAAAAAACTTTAAAAAATACAGTCCATACAGTACAGTACCAGGCAGTACTGTACCAGGCAGCCTGAAGACTGTCTCTATCTACCCTCTAACCACAGGGATGAGCAAGGTAGCAGACAAACAGCCTCTTCGCTCGCCAACAGTCAACTGAAAGTTCAAATTTCACGCTTTCCCTGCCTCTCCCATGTTTTTTCCCGTTTGTATGTTGAAGCTCCGTTCACAAGTAGAACCAAAATTTTGTGAATGGAGCTGTTCATAAATTGGATTGTTCATAGGTAGGGACGTTCGTAAGTAGAGGTTCCATTGTAAGCTTCTTTTCACCTTCAAGATTATGTTTAAATTCTACCCTTGAATTTAAATCGAAGGCTTTAAGAGGAAACATAAATAAATCTCCTTGTTTTTCAGGTGCCACATTATTTTTTGTTTTTGTTATACATTATGAAGGCTGAGAACTTGAAAAATGCGGTTTGAATCCTGAAATACAGAAGTGCTCATTGGAGCAGAGAGTTTTCTGCTTCAACAGAGCATTAGTTTCACGGAAAACGGAAGTGACCTGGTGATGAGCTAATGTTTCAATTCAGTGATAAGGTTATCTATTACTAAACTCAGTACCATACATAGTTTGTTTAAAGAAATACTTTGGGACAACCAGTGAAAACAATCACAGGGGTGGGTGTTTCCACTGTGTTTCCAAACACCATGCCCAGCTTACTACACCACCAGAACACCACCCACAACAACACCTCCCTATCCTTTTGGAGAATAGAACAACTGATCACATGGGGAAAATGCCGATTGAATTACTCCAGCTTGAAAACAAAAGAAGCCCCCCAGTGGTGGGGAAGAAAAACTCTACCTCAAAACCAAAAATAGCCTGGGCTGATGTGCATCCCCCTTTGCATCATGTGATCACTGTTAAAAAATCTGAATGTGTGCTTTACGTATGCAGCAAATCTCATCCTATTTCCTCGTGTAGTTGCAATCTCAGATAATTTCAATGCAAAATTCAGTGTTTGCAGCAGGGCAGTCAATACTGAAATGCTGCACAGCTTTACAGAGAGGTACAAAAAACTGATGCTCCAAAATAATCAGAAAAGAGCCTCATCCTGGTTATGCCTTGCATGTTCTGTTTTTCCAGGATGAGCAGAAATGTTTCACCTGTGATTCCAGGTATCCATATCACCCAGTTTTCCAGGCCAACAGTCACTTGATTGAAAACGTTATCACAACTTTCGAGACTGACAAGAAGAAGTGGTGGCAATCTGAAAATGGTGAGCATCTGTCCATTAATCTTAATTCCTTAGCCAATTGTGGATTTATTGTGGTCTCTGTAAAAATTCCATTCTACCATGACAACACTAAAGTAGTACTTTCCTGCTGTCTCCCTTTCTGTTGCTTTATATTTATGCAGGGGAAACGTTCATCCATTTGTAATAACACCAGCTGTCCAGATTAGCTGATAAAACTGGGTTTCAGTTTGAAACCTAATGCTCAAGCACAACTTCTGTACAGCTTAAGAGCATTTCCCTCCAGCAGTGGTACAAAAGGGCATGAATCAGTTTTCAATTCTCTTCATTTGGAATGAGCAGGAAGTAGTAGTATATGTTTAAATGCACTAGTGTGTCATTGGCTTGTGGAGTTGTATGAGTGCATCACAGTGAGAGAGGAATTGTGCAGGAACAAACTCTGTGTTCCAAGGAGTACAATAGTACATGCCTGGGGCCAAGAGGGGGTGGATTGCAAAAGCCAAGCACTTCTATTTTGGAAGCACCTGTTTCCCCATGGCAAAGTACAGAAGTGAACTTGCACATTTCTTAACTTAAGAGGAAGACAAATGTTGGTAAGAAAAATAACCATATGTAATATTTATAAGAAAAAAATGCGATTAAGAGTTGCCCTCTTCCCAAGACATAAACTGCTCATCCTCCCCACCCCAAAGAGCTGAGCATCTGTAGTTCTTTTATGAAAACACTGTCAAATAAATTAGGGGACCTTTAAAGCCCCATTAAAATTTTGTTGCAATTCAGACTTGATACAGTACCTTGAAACTCTCAGTTCAGCTACATTCTTCTGAACCCTTCCGGTTGTTTCAGTTAACTGTATAAGGACATCTGGATTGCTGTGTGGATTAAACTGCTTTGGAACAAATTAAATGCAACCAATGGCTTTGGTTAAAAACTGGTAGAAAAGAATTACTGTTTCAGAGGGTTAAGGATCTGCTGAAATATATGCGCTCTAGAATTCTTTTTTCCTATGATGGGTGGGTGTGACCTCAATTATGGGATCAAAGTGCCAAAATATTTAGATAAACTGAAAAGCAGAGATGGCATGTTCAAGTGGCTTTAGGCCTCCAGCTCCCATCTTAAGATGAATTGTGCCCTAAAATGACATTTTGTTGGTCTTTAAAAATTTTAAACATGAGGTAGTTTGGAGTTGTTCTTTCAGTTTTTGCAGTTTTGGGGAGCTTTAGGGACTGCTCCAAGACCCATAAATTGAAAACTACTCACTGGCTTCTAACCCAAAAATAACAAAATTGGGTTAGAAAATATTGTTTTTCCTTTTCTTTCTTTACACAAAGCTTTTGGGGGCTCCAAAAACGTCCCTGAGGCCCCGTTGCCTACTGTTGAGTAAAAGACATTCTAAATGTTGATGTACTCTAATATTAGTGAAGTTAAATGTTTTAGTTTCTGTACTGTTGCAAGGAGTATGGGATGTTCCGTTTGCAGCACATTTATGACTTTTGCATTTCAGTTCTGTTGGAAATATTTACCGTTAGCATTAAGAAAATCCATGAAGTAATTGGCTATTTTATCTTTGTAAACACCACCTGTCAGACTGTTATTGTTTTTTAAAACCTTTTGTAAATGAATGAGAATAAGATTGGGCATAGATTGGTTTAATGTTTTAATGTTTTACTTATATGAAAGGGATTGGCTAAGTGTAAGCCTTAGGCCACATCCAGTCCATGACCATTTCGAGGCACCTCAGTTTCCCATTGCCCCATATAAGAAAATATAGTAAAATAAAATAAAAATATATAATAAATTTTAAAAATATGCACAAGAGCAGTATATTTTGCATTTAGGTGGGATCATATTGCTAGCCAAGCTTATCAACATTTCCCAAAACACAAATTAAAGAAATCAACACTGTTCATAAATATGCAGCCACCTATTGTTTTAAACCCACCCTCCATTTTTTGACCATTTCTGCATCTGATGCAGCCCTTCAGGGAAGCCCCACCCCCCAGTCCCTCTAAAGTTGCCCACCATTGGTCTGCCACCGTAATGAAGGAACTTGTCCATTATTGTGTAGAAAATGAAAGGAACCCAATACAATAATGCATCCATTAGCAGTGCATGCATATTTGGGTAAGTAAGAGGTCAAATTGCTGTACTGATTGTGCTGGCAAATTTAAGAAAACTAATTTATCACCCTCAGCTCAATTGTTCTGGAAGACAGATACAGTATTTATTTTAAAATTTTAAAGAGCTATTCAGTTGGAAGCACAAGATACTATGTTTCAGTGGTTCCAGCTGTAGAGGAAGCAACCTATCCTGATAATTTTCTATCATGAAAATTAGTCTCTGGATGCTACACAATTGCACAATTGCACCCAGTTTTGTCTTCACTAAAAGTAAATTTCCTGAGAAGATAATTAACTTTGTGTTCATGTCTTCCTGTGGGCAGTACACTGTATCTTCCAATCATAAAATGAAGGATGTAAATTCACATTTCTGAAGCTTCTTTTATTCATTTGCAGGTGTCGACCATGTCAGCATTAGGCTGGATTTGGAAAACGTGTTTCAGTTCAGCCATTTTATCCTGACTTTCAAGGTACTTTGTACAAATCTATACACAAACACCCTGAACCCTCCATGAATTCTGTCTTGCAGCAGCTGATGCTAAAAACACACCGGGGGAACTCTCCTACAGCAAGCCTATGGGAGTGAGCTTACTACTCTTGCTTTATACAGTAAACAGTTTAATTTACTTCGCTTGTTAATAGTTTATTATCACTTAGTACTGACTGGCATAGATTTAGCCGATAAAAAGCAACTAGGTTTACAGAAAGAATATACATTTCAGATATAGGCGTTAGGACTGTTAAGGTCCAAGCTGGCCTTGGGCAAGAGTAAGCTGGCCACCTCAGGGACCAGAGTGCTGGGGTTAGCAACAGACCCACCACTGCTACCTGCTCACTGCTGAGCCAGCCTCTTTCACCTGCTGCTGCTAGCATGACCTCAATCAGGTATGTGAATAATGCCCAGCCTCAAGGGTCTTCAGAGCCAAGGCACTGTGGGAGGAATTATTTTGATTCGCAATTTCATCCAGATTTACTGATTTCACTTTTTAAAAAGTTTTGAAGTTCAGTCCATGTGGTCTAGATATATTAAAAGTTTAGCCTCCCCCGATCATGTGTAATGGAAGAAAGGGGTGGCTTTTGGATACTGTTCCATAACTGGGATGTCTCCCATGTTCTGTGTTAGCTATGAAGACTAACATGGGAATTCAGGTTAAAGCACAGACACACCCCCAAACTGAGTTTGCATTCTGGCTAAAAGTTTCTCTATAGAATCAAATTGTCAGAATTGCAGAATGTAAAATTAACTCTACATATTCCATACTTTTCAAAAATGTTTCTTCATGTGTTCTCTGTACATTGTGGATAGACTATTAGAGTTGGGTTCAAATCCTTGCCAGCCTACGATTTTCACTGAAGATTTTGTGATAGTCTATTTCTAACCTGAAATTTCCCCATAGGACTTTTTAAAATGGCTGCCTTGGTGCCTGTTTGTGCACACTGACTTTTGAGGAATGGTAGAATACAAATGTAATGGATAAATAACAAGCAGGTGATAGAGTAAGAGGAAGACAAAAAAATTAAAATACTAGACTTTATGTTTTAAACTTAAATCCAGCTGGTACTCCCAACTCAAGTAGATCCGTTGCATTAATTGTTAAATGGTGAGTCAACAGGTCTGTAAATTCTATCAATAGAATGGGTCTACTCTAGTTGTGATTACCAGCAAGATTCTGGATTGAGGCATTTGACATGAGATGGTTCATTTAGAGTAAGCTGGTGTCGGCTAAACAGGGTCACTTAAGGTTGCATAGAGGTCTGGTGTGCCATTTGCTGCGATCTCTCCATTCATAAAGCATAGACACATTAAATTAACATATTTTACCCACCTCCCTTAAGAAAAGAAAAGAAAGCTCCCTCCTTGTCCACTCCTGTTTCCACCTAATTCCAGGAGGAGGCCCTCAATTTTTAATTTCCCCACCCTGGAAGGTACAGAACAGAAAACTCTGGGGACAGGCTGGTTCACTCTACATTTTTTTTCATCTGATTGCCAGCAAAAGGAGTGAACCATCCTTACCCCACAGAAGGTCAGACAGCAGGGCAAATGCCCATGTAATCACCCCCATAGTTCAGAAAAACTCTTTGTAAAACCTCAGTCACAAAAGAATCTGAGCATTTATTTATTTATTGGTTGAATATCTGTCCCACCTTTCCTTTAGTGAACTCAACATATTTTCCGTGTATAAGACACCCCATGTATAAGACGCCCCCTTTTCTAACCCCAAATTAAGAAATCAGTATTTTAAACATGTAAAAAAGGGCACGTTTTTATTTAGTAATTAGGTAACATTTACATACCAGCACTGTCCCTGTTGCATCTGAGCACTGCCTACATGCTCCACCTCCAACGAAGTGTGTTCCAATTGGTTTGTTCAGCATCAGCTGATGTCAGTTACATAAGGCTTGTGATTGGAGGGAGCTAAGTCTCCTGACTGTAGGAAGCTAAGCCTCAGTGATTGGAGGCAGCCCGTTTGCAGCGGCAAGGTATGGGCAGTTTTGCAATCGTGCGGTTCTCTCCTCCGCTTCCTTCCGTGTATAAGACAACTGTCAATTTTTAGTCTAAAGGTTTTAGACAAAAGTATCATCTTATACATGGAAAAATGTGGTAGTTCCACTCATCTGTGAGGTAAGTCAGGCTCAGAGAGACCGGTAAGCCAAGGTCGCCCCAAGTGTTCTGGCTCAGTGGAGATGTGGGCCTGGGACACCCACATCCCATTCCCACAGTCATTACCCTCCACATTGGCTCTCTGGCATGTGATAGTTGTGGTACAAATCTTGCTCATGTTGAGTTTCCTCTTTTGGATCCTGGTTATGTTCATCCAACACTCTGCCCAGAATTCATTCTCTTTTTATGGCACCCAATGGCTTTGAGAATGACATCTGTGGGGTCCTGCCAAAAGCTATGTCTTATCCATGAAGGGACCTCTGTTCTGTAAACATTTGGGAACTGACAGAGACTAAAATGGTCATCAGTCTTGATGATAATCGTTAATCGTCGACAGTCATCTGAGACAGTATCTTTTGCAGACCTTTCGGCCCACAGCAATGTTGGTGGAGCGTTCCGCAGATTATGGCCAAACCTGGAAGGTGTTTAGGTATTTTGCACATGACTGTGCAGCTTCTTTCCCAAACATTCCTTCAAGGCCAGCCGGAAGAGTTGGGGATGTTGTTTGTGATTCAAGGTATTCGGACATTGAGCCCTCGACTGAAGGGGAGGTATGCATATTATTTGAGTTTATTTCATTTTAACTGTGCTGATTTTGCGTTTATTTATGGCACAAACCTATAACAATGGATTCTGAAATGAATCTCATTGAGTTCAACAGGGATTTCTCCTAGATAATGTATTATTATTATTTATTATTTATTTATCAAACTTATATACCGCCCATCTAGAACGTGTTTACTCTGGGTGGTTTACATAAAACATAAAAAATAAACTAAAGGTAAAATCCGAATTAATCACAGAGTCCAAGATGGAAAAAGGAAAAAAGGAAGGAAATAGGCTAGAGTAGGTGATGACTATAGGGAAGGCCTGCCTGTATAGCCATGTCTTCAGGGTGGTCCTGAAGGCCTTTAGTGAGGGGGCCAGGTGGATCTCTGCAGGTAAGTTGTTCCAGAGACATGGGACCACTGCTGAGAAGGCCCGATTTTTAGTTTTTTCCCTTCGGACCTCTCTTGGAGTTAGGTCCCTCTGCCGCCCAGCCTGACTGGAACTGGTGCTCTGCCAAGTACTGAGGGCCTAAACCGTTTAGGGCTTTATATCTAATAGTTAACACCTTGAAATCAATGCAGAAGCGGATAGGTAACCAGCGTAAGGCAGCCAGGGTGGGGGAAATATAATGAAATCTTTTCACCCCTGTTAATAACCTGGCTGCCATGTTCTGGATCATTTGAAGCTTCCGCATCAGTCTAAAGGAAGCCCCACGTAGAGAGCATTACAGTAGTGTATTCTTGAGACTGAGTGCATGGACCAGCATGGTGAGCACCCCTGCATCTAGACAGGGACACAGCTGGGTAATCCGCCGAAGATGCAAGTGGGCCGACCAAGCCATGGACGCTACCTGGGTCTCTATGGTAAGTGCTGGGTCAAGCTGGATCCTCCAGACTGCAAACTGAATTCTTTGTGGTGAGAGTCACCTCCCCCAAAAGAGAGGGAGTTCCCCAAACCACTGACATTGGGGCCGCCCACCCACAAGACCTCTGTCCAATCGACTGCATCCATTGTAGAATGGCCTCCAGGCAGCGCCCAAGGGATGGCACTGCATCCATTCCAGATGGAAAAGAGGAGATATAGAGCTGGGTGTCATCAGCATATTGGTGACACAAAGCTCTACATCCCTGGATGACTCTACCCAGCAGCCTCATATAGATATTAAACATCGTTGGGGAGATGATTGAACCCTGCGGAACCCCACAATTGAGGGACCACAGGGCTGAAACATTCTCCCCAAGCTCGACTCTCTGGGGACGGTTCTCCAAGAAGGACTGGAGCCAAGCAAGGGCAAGGCCACCAATCCCCAACTCAGAGAGCCTCCCCAAGAGGATACCTTGGTCAACAGTATCAAAGGTGGCTGAGATATCAAGGAGGATGAGTAAGGACATTTTGCTCCTGTCAGCCTCCCTAATATAGGTTTATTGCCCTAATCATCACAACAGAGTCTTAAATTAAACCTATGGCATGAAGGAATACATTTTGATTATGTCTTTTTAATTTTTTACCTATGCACAGGTTGTTTTCAAAGCTTTGGATCCCAGTTTTGACATAGAAGATCCTTATGCCCCATATGTTCAAGGTGTGAATAGTCTGGATTTTTCCAATGGCTTTTGTAATTATTTTCTTTTCATTTGAAGTGTTGTTATGCATAATAGTGTGGTAACTGACTGTTGAATTGGACTTCAAGGGCCCCAGGCTCTCTGCTAAGCTATGAAACTCATTAGGTGATGTAGGACCAGTCAATCATTTTGGCCTTTCTCAGGGGTCTCCAAACCTTTCACAGTGAGGGCCACATAATATATTTTCCATATTTTCAAGGGCCGAAGCAATGTGTGGGCATTCGCACAGATGCATGCACTCCCGCCCACCTGTATGCACACGGACGCACTCCCGCATGCACAAACACATGCACTCCCACACGCCCACACTTATGCCCGCACACATGCATGCACAGACCAGTTAAAAAGACAAGGTGGGCCGGATGTGGCCCATGGGCTGTACTTTGGAGACCCCTGGCCTATCTCATAAGGTTGTTGTGAAAATAAAGTGGAGAAAATTACACGATTTGGAGCTCACTGGAGTGAAAACAGGTGATAGTAATATATATTATTGCTAATAATATTATTATTAATAATAACAGAACATTTGTGCATTGTCATCTGCAGTAGAACCTGATGAATATTTCTCATATAAAGGGCCTAGCTCAGTGACAAATCTCATTTGGGACACAGAAGATGCAAATTTCAATCCCCAGCATATCGTGGATGAAACTAATTCTTGGGTGAAAGGGCTTGAAGAAGGCTTAGAGAACCAATGCCAGTCGGAGTAGATGCTGAGAGGGCTGAAATGGTCCAGCTTGCTATGTAAGGCACATTTGTATGTTTGTAGGAAATAAACTTTGAAATAACTTAGCCTGTTCCTTCCTCCCCTTTAACTACAGAGCTCATTACTTTTACCAACCTGAGAATAAACTTTACAAAGCTCCATACACTGGGAGATACTTTACTTGGGCAAAAGCAGCAGAATCCTCTGGAAAAGTACTACTATGCCCTCTACGAAATGGTGGTTCGCGGGAGTTGCTTCTGCAACGGCCACGCCAGCTACTGTGGACCTGTGCCAAATTTGCGAGGGGATGTTTTCTATGAGCCTGGGATGGTAAGTGGCAAATCTCCTAATTCTTTAAGAAGGCTTTATCTGAAGTGAAGACTCAGCTGTTTTGGGGCAGGGCAGAGATCATCCTACAACTAATTAGCACACAGATAATAGCAGGGGAATACCACAGCTGTAATGATGCAGGTATAATTCAATAAATAGTCTGTGCTGTGTGTAGACTTGAAATCTTCTTAATTAATAAACATAAGAGCACTTAGTCCACCAAGAACAGTGTGTGAAGAAGTTGCCTAATAATTTAAGAGTTTAAAATTATCCATGGGAAATGTAATATGTAACAAAACGTTGCCATGTAAAGTGTTCCTGTTCCAAATGTCATTCTGTGAGCCATATATTGCAGGATACTCCTTTCCTCTTCATTGGTTTATTTGATTTACCACTTTCCATTAATCAGTCACATCTCGCAGAAAATAAACATGCTCACATCCGACAGGTTGTATTTGAGGTCTCCCTCTTAAAGGCATTTCCCCCTCCTACAATTATTTTTGTTTTGCTTTCTTTTTTGTACTTTGCAAACACTGGAGTTTTTCTAAGCATGCTGATACATGCCTTTTGTGCATGACTAGTGTTATTGGTTTTTTTTTTTAGCAACATAAGGATTAGTAATTTGAGAATGTTAACCATTAGAATACTATTATACCATAATTGGCACCTCTTGGAAGAAATCATGCCTCTTTTTTTTTACCCTAGCATCACCAGGCCACTGATAAAAAGGTTTAAGATTGGTTTGTTACACTAGCTTTACCTTCAGGACTAAATCCTTCCTATCATCTTATTCCACCTGCTGAATTAGAAAGCAGCAGGACTTTGGAATTAATTGTCAGAATTAATTACACCAGATCAAAGATCTAAACCTGGATTTAAAGATATAATCCTACTAGGTTTCCTGTCTTTCAGCTAATAAATCCCAAGTTCTGGTGGCGATGCTGGAGGTCAAGGCTTCCCTACCAGTAGTACTTATGACTCTGGAATTTTTGCTGTCCCAGTTTGTTGTGATGATTGAGAAAAGTGGCAAGTCTTAAAATTTCCAAGTCTATAGAACCAATAAAACTCCAGTGCTAATGTCCGAAAAATATATTCTTTCATCCCTCCTGACATGAACGCCATTCTACTTTCTTTTGTCACCTTTATTTGTTGTTGGATATTACATGTACATTAATGCTCACCAAGATTCAGATTTTTACCAAGTTAAGAAAAAACTTTGCTTTAGTGTGAATGTCACGATATACTGCAGTCTAGGTAGACAAAGGAAGGAAAAGGAACATTTTGGCCAGGGATGGAGATATGGCTGCCTGAAACTGCCTATTTGTTTGTTTGTTTGTTTGTTTGTTTGTTTGTTCGTTCGTTCGTTCATTCGTTTATTTATTTCATAACATTTGTACCCCATACCTCTAATGCCTAAGCAGTACTCTGGGTGGCTAATAGCAGTTAAAAACACAACTACTCACCCCAGCCCACCGATACATAAATAATAAGGTCTAGACCAACACATTAATAACTCAGAATATCAGATTAATTTATTCTCCCTTTGAAACCAAAAAGAGGTGGGGAGAGGGGATCCGGAACTACAGGGGAGGTCCAGTGCCCAACTTTTTGCTATCTGTGGTGAAGGCACTCCCATTCCATTACAGAAGCCGACTAGACCACTAGCTGGATGCTAGCAATGGAATGTCATCCCCCATGGCACTTGAGGGCGGCATGCCAGTTGGAAGGAATAGGGTAGGCAGTGTAACTTGCAAAGCTCTGTCCTTCAACTGAGGATATTGTCCAGAGGGTTCCAAACAATTATCATAGTAGTTCCTTACGTGTATTATCTGAAATCATGGCCATACTGTGCCTACTATTAGAGACAATGCTGCTAATAGTTGTTGTTTTTGTTTGCAGCAAATGGATTATAATTCTGCAGTAGACCTCCAAGACCTCCACCAATGGAAACTAGCGACTCTGATTTTTCAGGAAGAGGAGATCCGCTCTAGGTTTTAGCTTAAACTTTAAAGAAGGTTGTTCAAAGTGCTGGACCAAGCTTGGCGATTGTGTTCAGCACATTGGATAGTTATTTTAAAGTTTGTATTAAAACCTCGAGCAGATCCAGCATCCTCACAATATTGGAGTCACCATATCTACTCTCTCCCCTGCCGAACCTAAATTATACTGGTGAAATGAAGCAAGTTTGAGGAACCAGGAGTGGATTTTTTGTGTGAAAGGACTGAGCTCTGTTCAGATCTGGTTCTCAACATAAATTCTTGGCCTAAATGTTATTTGATTTTAAATATAAATCTTTAGTACCATGCTCCACCTGGTGGATCCTGGAGTTCTAGTAAAATAAACATATCTACAGCAGACCCTGCAAACCTGATGCCTGCTTACCCCAGATCTAGATGACTCCCATGATGCTAGAAATTATAGGCTGCATTGCTGCAGGAAATTCATTACAAGGCCTAATTCTTCCTGCTGTTAGAAAACAGGTAGTTTAAGGCCAAGCTTTTATCACCCGTAAAACGTTAAGGGCATTTGGCTGCTATGCCATCTTTTCACCTTAGTGAATTTTCTGAGGTAAGAAGAAAGAGAAAACAAGGGGTGAGAAAGCAAGAGAATAAGTAAACCCTCTGGAAGAATCATTTAAAAAGGCAGGGCACAATGGTTATAAAAAGTAATCAAAAGTCTATTTTCTGTCTCCTTGAAGAAACAACACAACGCTGAAATCAGACAGCATGGCTACGTTAAAGCATTATGAGATTTTAGATGCTAGCTTTTCATCCTTGTCTAAATTGTGCCAGAGTTGGATCCCTTTTATCCCATTCTAGGTACTGTACACTCCTGGCAATATCCAATTCCACAAGCATTTTAATGTGTTATTTAATGGGCAGCTGCCGCACTGTGCTTTTGCATGCAAGTCCGTGTGGTCACTCATCCCCATCGCCAGTTCATTTGTGTGGGCCTTACATGCAAGACAGTTCAGGCAGATCACATCCAAGGAAAGGAAAGGAAAGCGCTGATTACAGACTTGTGTCATAAATGTGTTGCTGACATCTTGCAGGTCCATGGGAACTGCCTCTGTGAGCACAACACGGAAGGTTTGTCCTGTGAAAGATGCAAAGATTTCTACAATGACGCTCCCTGGAGACCAGCAGAAGGATCACAAGAAAATGCTTGCCGAAGTACCTAAAAGCCATTTACTTGATTTCTATCCTTGTCACTCATTCCCTGAAACTGTTGTAAGCTCCTTTTTTTGTAAGATCATCCATGCCTCATTTACAAAGATATTGGTTCAACAATCAATCTAGAGGCTGTTTTTGGAACTTGCATTTACACCTTACACATGTGTGCCACTTAGGGCAAAACTGACAAAGAGCCTTGTAAACCCTTAAAGACGAACAAGTTTTATGTTGCATATATTTTCATAGACAGTCGCTCATCCAATGTGTGGATGTAGCCTCAGTAGAAAGTCATTTATACAAACATGAGAAGGAGGGGAATGGAAAAATGTTGAAGATGCAAAAGATTCAGCATTACGATAGTGTCTCATCAGTTGTTGTTAGGAATCATTAACAGTCCTTGAGATGTAAGAGGTATACATTTCAGTGGTGGTCATTAAGAGCCATTTTCCAAACTACTTGGCGAGTAACAAGTCTATCGTAAGCCTAAATTAGCACACATAAGATGCAAGAAAAACCTTTGTCCATGACCAGTATAATGGAAGGCTATGTTTATACAAATATGATAGCGGATTGAAATCAGAGGAGGCAGAGGGAACAGAAATGCAAAAATTAAAAGTAGGGGAAACTGTTCAAACTGTCATCATAAAAGACTACAACTAAAATAGCTGCCTCTTCAGAAATGTAGAGGTAGCCAAACACTGTTTGCCATTGTTTTTCTATTCTGTTTCAGAGTGTGAATGCAATGGTCATTCTGAAAGCTGCCACTTTGATATGGCAGTGTATCTTTCCAATAACCGTATCAGTGGTGGTGTATGTGAAGACTGTCAGCATAATACCATGGGACAACACTGTGATCAGTGCACATTTTTCTACTATCAGGACCCCCAGAAGACCATTTCAGACTCTCACGCATGTGTCCGTAAGTGTGAAACCCCCGCCCATAGGACTGAATCCATACTGTCAGCAGGACTTCGTGATTTGTCCTGTTAATCTCAACAGAATCTAAAACTGGATCCAAGTCACAGTATTAACTGTAGCAATTGGTAAGATTTTATTCTTGGGGCTGACATAATGGGAGAAGCCTGTTTATATCTTGTGTGACAGATTTGAAATGGGTTAGGAGGGAACACATGGATGGAGAAGTCACTCCTTAAAACATACAGACAAAGGAGGAAACCTGACTATATATTTCCTTCCCTTTAGTTGGGTTAAAGTAATAGACCATTAAGCATGTTTTTATACATAAGGACAAACTGATGGCCTGGCCCAGGTTGCCTCTCATCTGTTGCCCTCCAGATTTCTCAGCCAGTGGTCAGCCATGCTGGGAATTATAGTCCAAGACACCTTGGATGGCACCATGATGGAGAAAACCTGTCCTCCTGGATGTAGCTAATGTACTGCTCTACCAAAGAACCATACCCTGCATTTTTAACTTCATTTTTCTCAGTGTTTGGCATTTACAGTATTATTATTATTCCTGTTTGCACTGACACATGAGTGTATAAAGTATGCATAACTCACTCACTCATGCAGAACTATTCTTTATATTTTCTATTCAGTGTACATGTAAAGTAAGTCTTGTTATAGAATACTTCCATGGTATGAATATACTATGTATTCCACTTTGCATTCTGTGTATTCACCAGTTATTCTGTGATACTAATCTCAGACTCTTCTCCTATATACAATACTATCCCAGGCTGAGTGTGAGGAAAAGCCTTATTCAATCCCTACAGGACGAGGTACTCGCCCTGCTCAGGCCACAGACCTTCTAAGCATGCAAAATGCAAACACTGTCTCTGTGTTAAAAGGATATTGTGGTCAATTACTGTATATAAAGTTTTGGGTGACAAGAACTTCCATGGTATGAATATACTATGTATTCCACTTTGCATTCTGTGTATTCACCAGTTATTCTGTGATACTAATCTCAGACTCTTCTCCTATATACAATACTATCCCAGGCTGAGTGTGAGGAAAAGCCTTATTCAATCCCTACAGGACGAGGTACTCCCCCTGCTCAGGCCACAGACCTTCTAAGCATGCAAAATGCAAACACTGTCTCTGTGTTAAAAGGATATTGTGGTCAATTATATAAAGCTTTGCTAAGGGTGACAAGAGATTGCCTAAAAACGAGATGGGCCCTATGTTTTTCAGCTTATCAATACTCCCATTTGACCACTTGCATCAATGTCTCTTTATGTGCCTGTAGCCTGTGACTGTGATCCAGCCGGTTCATTGTACAACGGGTTGTGTGAAGGTCATACCGACCCTGTTCGTGAAACTATTGCTGGCCAGTGCCACTGCAAAGAAAATGTCGAAGGAGTTCGCTGTGACAAGTGCAAGCCAAACTATTATGGGATGAGTGAAAGTGATCCTCTTGGATGCCAGCGTATGGATTTTTTCTCTTCTTCTCCTCATCATCTAAACATTATAGACAGAAATAGGTGCAAAAAAAATGACTGTAAATTGGTTTTCAAAATATGTTAAGTTGGCAAATCCTCTTGGATGCCAGCGTATGGATTTTTTTTCTTCTCCTCTCCATCTAAACATTACAGACAGAAATAGGTGCAAAAAGATGACTGTAAATTGATTTTCAAAACATGTTAAGTTGGCAAAGTGTATTAGGTATGACCAATACTGCCCTGAACTACCCACTTTATCTGATTGCAGAAACTAAGCAAGGTTGGTGTGCCTAGGCAGGAGACTCAGACAGGAGACCATCAGAGAATATCGGGAATGTCCCAGTAGGGCTAGGAAAGGTTCCTGCTAGAAATCCTGCAGAGCAACTGCTTTTATAGCTGGTAGTACCAGGCTTCGTGGACCCAAGGTTCAGTGGCTGAAGTCCTATTGATTAGCATAGTAAGTCCCACTGGAGTAGGTAATTGAATCTGTGGAAATGACAGAGCAGTTGACTTACCAAACCTCCGCTGATTTAATGTGCCTACTCTAATGCAGTGTACTATACTAAGCAACTGAATTTCAGCCACTGTTAGGTTGTTGCCTATGTTCCTCTTGTGTACCTTCAGTCTACAGTATGCCATTTCATTGATTCAGTCCAATGACAAAAGGAATGCAGAAAGTTGTGTTTAGTGGAAAGTTGTGAGTCATACCACAGAGGAAAGTGGAAGAGAGGAATAAATCCATATGTTTCTGCTCAATATCCCTAGTTGTATATTTATCTTAGAAGTCTTGTAAAATTATTCTGAACAACAACTGGAAATGTTTAATGAATGGAAGTCCATTCTGTCCCATGACCTTCTTTCAAAGTTCTAGCTATTTGTATCACTGGTAGGCAATAGAAGGGATTTTGTTTCTAGCCTTGCTCTGCCTCCTCACATGGGGAAGGGGTTGGAAAAGGAGGAGTGAGGTCAGTCACACTCTTGTGTGGAGTTTGCTTTACTTGAAGTCCAAGTGGATTGTTCCCCACTTCTGTCTGTGCCCTATTGGCAAACCCAGATCCAGATGGTGCAGTTGTATATTACAAGATGGCACCTGGCAGGCTTTCAGTTCTGTAAAGTCCACTTCAAACTTCAAGGACAGTTAAGAAGCATTTTTCAAACATTTTTCAGTATTTAATTTCATGCCATTCTGGTCCTTTGTAAAACTTCCCGTTGTTTAAGGCTTGTAAAATGATAACTGGAAGTGAGACATAAAGAGGTAAAATTAGTATTCAAAGTGACATGATGTGTGGTTGGCAAAGACTAGCACAATGAGCCCCACCCAAATGTGTGTAGCATTCACACTTGCACTAAAGTCAAGAGGTACAGCATTGTGGGAAGGGGTTCCCCCACGAACACACATGTGTGTATGATGCTGATGCGTACAGAGGTCATGATGGTGCTTTCTATTCTTTCAGCCTGCAATTGTGACCCTTCTGGAAGTTTGGCTTTCTCTGTTTGTGATCCTGTAACTGGAGAGTGCTTGTGCCAGCAGTTTGCTACTGGGCAGCATTGTGAACAATGTCTTGTATGTATCCATGAAGCTTTCACAGATATTTCTTGCAATGTTCTGTTTTATTAGTGCTTAACTGACTTTCTGTTCTTCCTGATTTTCAAAGATGTCTTCTGTGGGATTCCAAAGAAAAGCACTTGCTGAATGAATGTGAAACACTTTTGAATCAAATGGCAGTATCTTCCTAGCGCTTAGCTGGGCAGTACATTTGTAAAGGCAAACTAGGAGAAGCAAAATGAGAAGTAGTGTTTTTTCTTTTCACAAATTGCAAAAGAACAAAGGCTCAGAGATAGTACCCCATTTTTCCCGTGTATACGATCCTCCCCAATGTATAAAATGACCCCATAATTTTGACCCTTGGTGGAGATGGAGGAGCAGTTAATGGGCAACTGCTCCTCCACCTCTGACTCCTGCTGCTGCTGCTGTCTCCACTGCACGCCCGATCACCTCCTCCAGTGCGACTGCCAGGGCTCCAGCTCACATTGCCACCTTGTCCCCTGCCCGAAGGAGACGATCGCTGGAGGAGGTGATCCGGCAGCGGCAGCAGGAAGAGGGGCCAAAGCACGTGTGACTGCTCCTTCGCCTCTGCCTCCTGCTGCCTCTGCCACCGGAGGGGACAAGCCGTGAGTTCTGGAAGAGGCAATTGGGCAGCAAGAGTTGCTGGAGCGGCCTGAGCGCGCCTGCGACTGCCTCCTTCCGTGTATAAAACAACCCTCAATTTTTCCTCTATTTAAGGGGAAAGTGTCATTTTATACACGGGAAAATACGATATATTGTCACTGTAGGGGAACCAAGAGAAGTGTTAATAGCAGCTAGGGTAAAGCATGGCTAAGAAGAATTATTTAGGGGTTACACCTCATAAAATCCCCCAGTTAGCATGTCCACAGGCCATATGATCTGGGCTGTATTAGGTACTCCCAGTGAATTACAAATTCAAATAGCAGTTTGGGAGAATGGATGGATTTCTGTGGATCCAACACAGTTCCTTACTTTCCTATCTCCATACTTGAAGCAAGTGCTATTCAGTGGCTTGGAATGGAGTCCAACAAACAACATGTTTTCATTAAATTAAGTCACATGGAGGTAGCCAATATTCTTCCTTTTTTAATTTATTTATTTTTTACAGCAAGGATACTGGGGTCTTGGAAGTAATTTATATGGATGTTCTCCATGCGACTGTGACATTGGTGGTGCCCACAATAACTTGTAAGTCTTCAAGTTCCTCTTTCAGATCTTCCACTGAAAGATTTGTGAATACCTAAGAACATCTGTATAAAAATGGGTTGATTGCCAATAGCTATATTGAGAGGCCACTTTGGCTTCTATGTGGCAAGATATACAGTGCAACAAAAGTTTGCTGTATCCCGATTTGTAACATATTCTGTCATGTATCAGTGGCCTGAGATTGCATTGCACCCTGTCTTTTCTGCTAGGTGTGCACCTACCAATGGTCAGTGTGACTGCCTGCCTAATCTAGTGGGGCGCCGATGTACTGAACCAGCTGCGGGCTACTTTTTTTTACCTTTGGATTATTATATATATGAAGCAGAAGACTCAGAACCACTTCCTGGATCTTCACCTTTGGTATTGTTTTTATTTAAAAACTATAATAACACAGAGGCGGACAAATAAAATTAAGTATAATAAGAAGTGGTGGGCAAGAGGGAAAGCTGTCGAAAAAAAGTAGCATATCATATATGTATGTTCAATGTGCTTCACACAAAAAGTGTGAAGTATACCTCCTAAGAATTTTGGCTTTAAATTTAAAGCAAAAGCAGGAATCTAATGTGGGCAGCTGCTAAGGGGTGTGTTTAAAGGTATACACAAGCAACGTGTATTGAGATCTCCAAAGTCAAAGGAATTACTGAATAGTGTTTCTAGTGAGGCTTGGATAAAGGCTTTTGTGGTCTGCTCCAGCTCCATGACCATTCCTGGGACTAATAAAAGTAGAATAAATACATATGCAAAATATCAAAAATTGAAGTAACAAAATGTGTAAATTTAATTTTTTTTCTTGGTATTAAATGTGGACAAAATGTAGGTGCATTTAAAATAGAGTGGACACAGACCTCCAGTTAAGGAGTCTCTCCTGGTCTACAGATGATGTTTCAAATTGCATAGTGTTTTATTTGATGTCTTCTCAGGAATTATAAAACTATGCAATTGCCCATAAATAATGGAATTTTCCTTCTTGTTCTCTCTGTCCTCATTCCCACCACACTTTATCTAGCATGGTTATTTCTGAAATCAGAAATTTCATCCTCTAAGATTTAGATTTCTGTCACTTCTGTACATTGATTTGGATTGCAAATAGATTAATACAGAATTCTGTGACATGACAAATAAGACATGGGCCAGACTCTTAACTGTGTAGTTTCAGTACTCACCTGGTTGATTATACTGAGATTGCAAAAAATATATTCCTGACAAATTAAAAAAAAACAGTCATGACAATGCTTACACTTCAAAATTTCATTTGTAAGATTCAACCCACAGTAATGCCACGGTGTGACATCTATTTCCGACAAAAAGGTTACGATTTTATAGTGGAAAATGGAAAAATCATCTTAAACAGAAGCAAGAAAAGAGGCATAAGGAAAGCAACGGTTGGACAGGTAAATAAAATGTTCTATTAACTGTTTTGTAAGGAAAGGCCAAAAAAAAAAAGAGTCAAGTCCATGGATCAAAAAGTCACTTGGAAAGATGCCTATAGTGGGTTCCTCAGATTTGTGTCATTCATGGCTCTTGCAAAACGGGAACCTCCTGGATCAATGGCAGAAGAGTGTCTGATTCTATAGATGAAAATCTCCATGTTCATTGTGTACAAAAATCTGGGAACATCACTGGCCGTCAAGGGACATGGTGGTCAAGTTAGATGGATTGGTCTCAAATCATCATCTCATGTTTTGCAACCTGAATGAATGGGACATTTTTATAATTCATTATAATGAATTTTTTTGGAAGATATAGAAGAGTTTTTATTAGTTTCCCAAGGACAAATTGCCTGAAAGAAATGCAAGGGAGAATTAGTCTGCTTAACAATATTGGCCTGAAATGCTGATATATCAAGGGTAAAAAATGAATTATCTATATGCTGCAGAGCTCTTGTATATTCTTGCATTAGACAGATGAGATATGAAGAACGGTAATAATGTTGATTGAAATGTGCTGGCCTCAGAACTGAAATACTGAAGTTACCTCATCCTTAAGTTATGGGATACAGGCATAGGTGTATGGCTAGTGTAGACAGTAATCAGCTTATGGCAGCCATTTTTCTCATCCATTTAGGGTTGAATAGAGGAAGTCTCCATTCAGTTTGTTCCAACTCTGAGAGTCAAGCTAGGCATCAAGAAGTGCATATTCTTTGCAATTAATGTGCCACCTCTCCCACAACATGATTTTCGGGGCATGAAACTCAGTAACAGACTTGCAAAATTATTCATTTTTACTTTCCCATGCAAAATACATTAAAGTATGCTGAACAAAGTACATTGAAAGATACATGAGTTAGGAAAATCGTATGATACGATAAATGTTTAGGAAGCACATCTATTACATACATGCTAAGCATACATGCTAGTTTGACACTCAGACATTTTGTCCAGCCATAAAAAGTTTGAGGTTGGTGTTGACCTAGTCCATTCTTCCAGAATTCAGATGGCAATGGCATGATCTATCCACTCAAGATTAGGCAATATTGAGGCCAGTCACAAAGAGCTGCTTCCGTAACTAAAGGTTTGGGGCTACAATTCCCATTATCCATACTATTGCAATATCCATATATTTTAGACTACAGTTCCTATTATACATACCATTGACAGCCGTTACAGACAGAATGCAAGGCCTTAAGGTAGGGAAGTCTAATCTGTGGCTCTTACTGTGGGGAAGTCGAATGCACCTAATATGGCTGAATTTCTTTTGTTTCCTAAAAAAATCTGTTACTTTAGAATGCTAATATCTTTTTTCTGGGTTCACAGCAGTTTGACAGGCACTCTGCTCTGGATATTGTTATTAGAGACTCTGTTCCTGGAAAACCTATGACATGGTCTGGCCCAGGTTTTGTTCGTGTTCAAAGTGGAGCAGGGTTAAGATTTACGATCAGCAACATCCCTTTTATGATGGATTTTAATATCATTATTCGCTATGAGCCTGAGGTACAGTAATTATATTATTTCCTACTTCCTAGGACAGGTTCAATTTGTATTTGCATACACACATAGAAAATAAAAGGGGGGGAAGAGCAGGGCTTTTGAACAAAAACACATTAAAATAGAGTAAATGGAATAAATTGAACCGAATCCTCCTAAATTTGCTTGATCTTCAAGTTTTTTTTATTGTTGATGTGATAAAATTATACTACACTATGATATTTACTCATCAGCCTTGCAGGATGCACATAGTATCTTCAGAATGACTCCCCATGTGGTAAGGTTGACAATGACTATGCAACATAAGCCATTAAAAACTAAAATTTCCCAGTCTCTGCATGGGGAATACATGGGCAAGATTTTTTCCTCTGAACTTCCCTTTATAAAGCCTCTTCTTTTTTATTTGAGAAAGGTAATCCTCTTGAGGAAATCTTTAAGAAGTTTGAAAAAAATATTTAAGAACTCTATCTCTCTAACTCTCATGAGAAGAGAAGACTCGCTGGAAAAGACCCTCATGTTGCAAAAGTGTGAGGGCAAGAGGAGAAGGGGACGACAGAGGACGAGATGGTTGGACAGTGTCATCGAAGCTACCAACATGAATTCGACCCAACTCCGGGAGGCAATAGAAGACAGGAGGGCCTCGCGTGCTCTGGTCCATGAGGTCACGAAGAGTGGGACACGACTTAACGACTAAACAACAACAACAACCTCTCTATCGGACATTCTTTTCTGGAGTTTGTGTGTGTGTGTGTGTGTGTGTGTCTGTGTGTGTGCGCGCGTGCTAATTGAAAGCTCCTAACTGGGAGGCTCTCCTTGAACATCACCTTCAAATGGGAGACACCATAGTGCTAAATTCTACCTACAGGGAAATTGATGTTAAAAATAAACAATGCTTTCAGAAGGGCTGAGAAGCTGCATAAAGTATGGAAAAAATGACAGTACAGTACTAAGCAAGATGAGAGGAATGTTGTATGGCTGGTAGGAAGAATACCAAAAACATAACTGCAGAGCCCAGTACATTAAGGACAACAAATATGCCATTTGGAAGAGCCCTGTGTTGATGTACACATGATGCAGTGCTGAATGGGCTTGGCTGAGTTGTATGCAGCAGGTATGCATGCATCAAGCTAATCTGTAAGCAGAAGTTTTTTTTTAATGTGGACGGAGATCATCAGCTTGGAGGAGACATTATTTTTTGCCAAAGAAGGACCATTTTTCCACTCCACATTGTATTGTCTGGGCCCTAGTGAGATGATTCAAGATGTTCCTGTTTAGATGAATGTCAGAAACCAATAATGTTTTAACTTCCTTTTTTTCTTCCCACACATATAGTCTGTTGAAGACTGGATAGCAAACATTGCCATAAAGCCTTTTGGTACTGCAGGAAGAGAGCACTGTAGAAGTGAGACAGCTTTCCAAGAGCCACACTTGCTTCCTCTACCGTCTACATCAAGGTCTGGATGTTACCTGTTGCTTTCACTGCTATTGGAACATATGTTCTTTAATAGATCATAACATAGTGCAATAAGAATTATAAGGATGAAGGCGTCCCCTTCCCTCCCCTCCTTCAGTGCTGACCATCTCGTGGTCCATCAGCCTATCTCTTTTCTTGTCCATGTATATCCATGTATGCATCCTTCCCATATGCATCCCAGGAGCAGTAGCACTGGGATCGCATTAAATCATAATAGCTTATTCCTTGCGTTAAACAGGATGGAACTGCTCCCTACTCCAATATGCTTAGAACCAGGAAGAGAATATTTTGTGGATGTCTATTTTTCTGCCTCTGGCCCAGAGACACAGTCGTCCATACTGATTGATTCAGTAAGTAGATCTGCTCTGCTTTGTGGGGGAAAATATATATTTCTTTTTGTTCCTTTTTTTAAGCAATTGATCTACTTATTACTCTCTCTCTCTCTCTCTCTCTCACACACACACACACACACACACAGAGAGAGAGAGAGAGAGAGAGAGAGAGAGAGAGAGAGAGAGAGAGAGAGAGAGAGAGAGAGAGAGAGAGAGAGAGAGAGAGAGAGAGAGAGAGAGAGAATGTACTGTATATGTATATTCGACCTTGCAGTCAGACAGCTAGCAACATCTTAAGCAATAACACATTTTGGTTTTTATATTCTTAGCCACTTTCTTTTTCAGCTCTTGATATGTACTTTTGACCCCATAATTCTTAATTTTCTTGGTTGTAATTTCTCTGGATTTCTTTCTTTTCTGTAAATATGCATGTATTATTGTTTATAAACTGCTGTTCATTATCTAGGGACCCTTTATGAAGGTACTTATACTTTCTCACATTTTTAATTTTATTTATTACATTTTTATTTATCTTCAAAGAGCATGGGGCATTGTACAATCTTTTCCCACCTATTTTATTCTCACAATAACCCTGTGAGGATAAAATAACCTTGAGATAAACTAGGCTGAAACTGAGGATGGAAAAATATGCTAAGACAGAATTTCTTATCTGCTGAAACTTTCTGAGTGTACAGCAGGATTTTTTTATCTAATTTGCAAATCAGCTTGCTTTGTTTTGTGGTTGGTGAAAAGGACTGTAGGAGGAAGTTCTCTGAGATCACAGTTTTTAAACACTAAAGTGTGACTGAATCGTGTCTACCTAACAATAATATGCCAGTTTGTAACATCTGGCTCTACTGTCAGTGACTGGTTTTCCTTAGCGCAGCTCCTTAGCAGTACAGTGTTGAAATCAGTTCTCTTTATTCTGGTCCAGCACCCTTAACCACAAAACCAGCTGTCCTTCCATTAGATGTAATGCAGAAATCCCAGTGCTCCAGATATTATTACTGCTTTTACTTAACAGTGGCCCTATGATAAATAGCATCCAACTCCAGGAGCACCTGTACAGATAGTACAATCAAACAATATTAAACCAACAAACTAGTCTTGGTGCTTCTTGGTGCCCTGGGCGAACACCCTGCTAGTTCACGATTAAGGCATAAATCTATACATCTTGGCTTACTCCCAGTAATGCTGCCCTTCCTGTTTTATTTAATATGTTTCATACTGCAAGTCTATAACAGGAACTTGGTTTGCTCTTGTTGGCCAAAATCCTGTTATTTAATGTAACAAGTCACAACTAGGGTAGGCCCATTGCATCAGTAGGGATTCAGTAAGTCTAATCCTCCATAGGTTCACTTGATTCAGTGGGCCAACTCTAGTTGTGACTTAGCATAGGCATCCTTCAGTCTCGAGAGACTATGATAACGTGCTCTGTATGGAGGACTTGGAACAGCATCTAGTGTTTCGATGCTGTAGGCGAAGCTGGAGTGTCCTCTCCTGGGCACAAAGCCTGGGTAAAATAATATGGAGGATAGGCTGTTACCCAAGCAGCAAATCCCCCCTCTCCATGTCACTGAATTAGTCCAATGGAAAGGCAAGAGTCAATACAACTGGTTTCAGTGGTGTTGCAGGAGCTGACAGAACGACATGAACTGCCTCCAGGACTCCGGCTCCAGATTTTGCCTCGAGGTTTACTCCTGAAGCCTTTTCCATCAGACGATATAGCCACAAGGCAGTGGAGGTTTGAAATCTAGGAGTTTTCCTTCTCCTAGATGGGCTGCCTTCCAAGGCTGATGAGTCCCACCTACCTGGCCTGCTCCCTCACAGCATGGAGGACGATGGCAGCGCCTTAGTGGGGGTTTGAAATCGGAGTTTTCCTTCTCCTCGATAGGCTGTCTCCCAATGCTGACGAGTCCCACCTACCTGGCAAACACTGAGTATCAGGATTTAAATCACTGTGTAGTATATAGTAAGCCATTTAGTGCTCTATAAATAGATGACAACACAGACTTTAGTTCACTTTACATTGCAGGACTTAAAATTTGTTTCCTGATATACTTGCTATTTTGTCAGTACCTGTTCTCCTTCCCTGTGTAACATTATGTGAGAGCAGCTGTGTGGTTGCAGTATGATCTCTTCTAAATCTGGGAATGCTTAGGGTCATCTGTTTCTGAATGCGACAGGGTAAAATAGTTTTACTTTAAAAAAAATCAGAACCTGAAAACCCCTTGCTCAAACTTCCCCAATTTTGGCAGAGAGCAAAATCAGACTGTCTGCTAAAACTGTGCCAAATTTGGTGCTGCTAAGACATTTTAAAGTTATAATTTTTCATTTGGGCTGCTCCCATTTTTAGAATTGTCTTAGAGAATGTTGAATTTTGCCCTGCCAGTACAAAATCAAGAATTCAGCAATAATTCCAATAACTTGCCAGTTGGGGCTGTAGTAACTCTGAGGCCTGAATGGGTTACTCATATAGAGTCATAGGCTTTAAGATATTTGTGACTTAGCTGGGAAACTCTCAACATGTTGTTATGTGTCATCAAGTGAAAACTGACCTATAGTGAACCTAACAAGGCTTTCAAGGTAAGTGAGATATTTAAGGAAGGGTTTTATCAGTTTCACTCCCCCAGTCGGTTTCCATAGGCAAGTGAGGATTCAAACCTTCTCCTCCAGAGTCCTAATCCATCACTGTATCCACTATACCGCATTGGGTATCTCAACTGTCAACATACAAAGATGTTAAGTTGAATGTGGTGATAGTTATGGGACTTAGGACAGGGTCAAACTTGCTGGAATTAGTTTCAGTGTGATATGTGCAGCTAATAATCCTGAAGCTATCATCACTATAATCAATAAGGTTGTGACCTTAGCTTGCCCCAGTAACATATGTCATGCCTCTTTGCCAACTTCCATTGGCGAAGTTGCAAATGGAATGAGCTTCTCACACTTGTGTGCAATTTTAAGTTTATACACCGAGTAATTCAGCTATTGTTTTGCAGGTGTATTTTGAGGGGAACTATTCAGAGTGGGCTGAACATAAGAAACAAATCTACAATCAGGAAGAAAAATTACTAGTTTTCAGGATGTTAAGGTTTTGTTTACCTTTGGTGCTTAGATGGCTGTACTGAATGGAATGCATTAACTAAAATATCTGTTTGCTTTTATAATTGGGCAGCTTGGACTCATTCCCAGAATCAATTCTGTTGAAAACCTTTGTGATAAAAATGACTTAGAAGAGTACCAGCAATACCACTGTATAGAAATAGCTTCAGAAATTGGACCACATATTTTACCAGAAGCATGTGCCAAACTTATTGGAAGCTTGTCTGCCCGTATTCATAATGGGGCAGTTTGTAAGTATTAATGCCATTTGTTTTTCTTGGTACTATTTTACACACCACCTGCACTTTCCAGAAAGGCAGAATGGTTTAAATTTCTTTTCCTCTGACTTCTTTAAAGAGACCTTTGGAAGCATAATTGAGGCACGATGTCACCAAATCTGTTTTGCATGTGATGTGGCACCTGGTCCTACCCACGTTTCCAATGGGGAACACAGCAATAGGGAATATTCCTTCCCTTTTCATTGTAATCAGCCAAGAAGAGCAAAGGCTAAGCATAGGAATTGTTTGCTGAATTTAGCCAAGTTGATCCTGATGTCTCAACAACTGAAACTCACCCAACACAACTGGACCAGATGGTGCAGCAGCATTGTAATCTTATGTAGAGCCTGAGGGTCAAATCATGCATTAAAGGATTTTCTGTAATTATGTTTTCCTTCCTGGCAAGCAATTCCTTCCAAGCACAGTTGGAATTGCAAATGAAGCCCTTGTTAATCTTCCAAGGACCAATCACCAGACAAAAGCAAACTCATTTGCAGAGTAAAGGAAGCTCATACGAGGACAATGAGATATCTTTTATTGGTTCACGGACCATTGCTTTAATTGATATCTTAAATGTGTTACTGGGCTCAAGTCTTGTTGAATACACTACCTTTCTTCTCAAAGGGTCTTTTAAACTTGTCAGTGCAAGCTACGTGGGTACCATCAGCTATCTCTCTCTGGGCTAAATTGCCACAGAACTCCAACCGCCAAGAAAAGTAGATACTGTAATATTGTAAATGCAGTGGAGGTGGAAAAGAAATCCTTCCCCATCGTTGTCACCACCACAGAATTATTTTGATAACAGTGCCTACGCTGTGTTTGATCAGACTTGGCATGATCCAAGCCACTTGACTTGGAGCATTTATCTTGTTTACTTCATTACTGTCTGCACAGATGTTTACCAAGGAGATGTGAAGATGTTGGAAGCACTTATGTAGAATTATCAACCACCTGTGGCATCTCTTCATATTGAACAGCACTTTGATGTTATTTGCTTTGATAAGGGGAAAACAGTCAAAGCTTTCTTTGCAGTGAATAGAGTTAGCTATTAGTTACTCCTTGCCAGGTATAAAGTTACTTGTAATCCTTTATGTTCCTCTTAATTGGGAGTAAAGGGAAACTGTGAAATGGCAGCAGATGTAACTAGAGAATTGCAGGCTAGTCTGTGCCTTCCACCAGCTCACACCATTAGCAGAAGCTGTGCTTAAAAACACCAACACCTTGCCAAGTGAAAAAAAAAACATGGATAAGAAGCAGAGCCTTTACATGAGTGGCTCCAGTTCTGTAATTCTCAATCCAATGATGCTCAGCTTTGGATATCCTTATTATATAAAGAAAGCATGGCTAAATATTTTATATAGAAATGGTTTTGGTTTGACTTCTTTTGGCTGGCTTTCCTACTTTCACCACTTAAGTTACTGTTTTTAATGATGTTGAGGTACTGAATCTAATCTATTTTTTTTAAATTTTGCCCTGAAGTATATGTATGTACTGTGTGCCGTCAAATTTGATTCCAACTTATGGTGACCCTTTCCAGGGGTTTTGAGGTAGAGAATACACAGAAGTGGTTTAGCATTCCCATCTTCTGAGGTTGCCTTGGGACTGTGCAGCTTGCCCAAGGCCACACGGGCTAGCTCTTATTGCAGGAGGCACAGTGGGGAATTGAACTCTCAGCCTCTGACTCCTCAGCCAGATAATTAAATCACAGAGCTATCCAGCTGGCTGCCCAGAAGCAGAACAAGTTAAAAACAATTTAATTGAAAAAACACAAGGGAAACACACATATATGATTGTGTTCTATATTTCTATGTCTCTGTGCAGTTCACTGGGGAGCATTTATTTTCTCTCTTCAAAGCCTGCAGGTGTCATCCACAAGGTTCAGTGAACTCCAATTGTGAGAAACTTGGAGGTCAGTGTGAATGCAAACCAAACGTGATAGGCCGCTGCTGTGATAAATGTTCAGCTGGAAGCTATGGCTTTGGGTCCCAGGGTTGTCTTTGTAAGTACTGTACTAGTTTGTACAATGTTAACTTGTGTCTCTTGTTCTTTAAATTTTCAGTCATCTTCCTCTGTATGTTTTGAATTTACAACACATATTAAGATTTGATACAATGGCCAAGCAGTTGCTTTTCTTTAACTGAGTCTTCCTGTCAACATAAACATACTGCGTGTATTTAGTCACACCCCTTAATCCCCATCTGGACAATGGGTTTAAAAATTGATTGTTCTCACATGACCTTTGTGGATAGCGCCATGTTCTGGGTTGTTAAGACCACACAATTATCAAGGAGGAAGAGACACCTACGCCGTAACTTGAATTACATCACACTGAGTCTTACATTAAGATAACTACACAAAATGTCACCTGAACTACTGCTTGTTTTCCTCAAGCATGTGGCTGCCATCCTCAAGGATCTGTGAGTGCTCTGTGTGACCAGGTGACTGGGCAGTGTTTGTGCCGGCCAGAAGTCGATGGCCAGCAATGCCATCGTTGCTTGGCTGGATATTTTGGGTTCCCCCATTGTCGGCCTTGTCCTTGCAATGGCTTTGCAGAACTTTGTGACCCACAGACCGGAGAATGCTTGAACTGCAGAGGGTTTACCACTGGTGCCAACTGTGAAAGGTAAGGCTGGATTAGTATATGGTGTGTGCATATTTAGCATATGTGCTAAATGATTTGGCATGAAGAAAATGGCTCACTGAGGTTTGTTTCGGAACAGTATAGGAAGAACTAAAGAGGATATGCAGGCTGCACACAGGTCTTCGGTTTGCTGAAATAGCCTTTATATTGCCCATGTACAGACACACGGGGACATCTATAGATACTGAAGGAGGGGGCTTCGGAAACTAGACAAAAACAGGGAATCCTGTAGATGTGGGCTTTATACCTGTTTTGGGACTGGGTCACTGAGGGTAACCCTGGATACTGAATTAGATGGGCCTGGGATAGGCTCACAGCAAAGCTCAATTCATTTATGTCCTCGCATTCTAATGAAGTTATTATCAAACATGTTCCCTATGCTTTTGGCAGATGTAGAGATGGCTATTACGGAAATCCTCTCAAAAGGGAGCCCTGTCACCCGTGCATGTGCCCAGAGGCTCCTACCAGCGGTAGGCACTTTGCACATTCCTGTTACGAAGATCCTTGGACCCAGGAATTAGTCTGTAACTGTTTGGGGGGCTACTCAGGTAGGAAGCTTTCCATCTTTTATGGATTTCGTAAATTTTTTAATTATTTGCCTTTCATATTCCATTGTTAAAGGCTGAGGGAAAATCGCCACTCTGTTTCAATTCTCTCTCTTCAGCTGTATCTCTGTTTCAAAGCTGCTTGTGATAATCCAGCTGTTTCACCTCCTTCACTTTCTTTCACAAATATAAATACAGTATTACACATATCGTACTGGTTATAGGTTTGGAACAATTAACATATCATACTGGTTATAGGTTTGGCTGAAATCCAGCAATGTAATTTATGCTGTATAAGGCTGATGATGTCATCAGTTACAGGGATTTTTCAGAAATTAGGCATTTCTGATCCTACCCCCTCAAAGGTCCAGAAGCTACCTTTGGATCTCTTTCATTGTTGGGAAGCTGTTGAGGGCTATGAGATGTGAATCTTTAATCTCTGAAAATCACTGCTTGGCAGGATGATTTTACTGATGGTGATAATATTCAGAAATTAAAGATTCCATCTCCTTCTCACAGCTCCTGATGGCTTCCCCATAATGGAAGAGGTCCCAAGGAAGCCTCGGGATCTTTGAGGGGGAAATCAGATGTCATAAGCTTTATGTGGCATAAGTTACTCTACTGGATTTCAGCCAGTGTTTTCTCAGAGTAACTGAGACCAGATAATGATGAATGGTACCAAAAATCCCTGATTTCTTTCTAGCCGCAAAGGGCACAAACGTAGTGGCATTGACTTAAAGTGGTAGGAAAAGCCCCACCCCCAACTATGCATTGGCTGTCTCTAGCAAGCACGTCACTACTAGCACCACTCTGGTACTCTACTGGATTTCAGCCAGTGTTTTCTCAGAGTAACTGAGACCAGATAATGATGAATGGTACCAAAAATCCCTGATTTCTTTCTAGCCGCAAAGGGCACAAACGTAGTGGCATTGACTTAAAGTGGTAGGAAAAGCCCCACCCCCAACTATGCATTGGCTGTCTCTAGCAAGCACGTCACTACTAGCACCACTCTGGCTGATGATGAAGCACATCATTACTAGCACCACTCTGGCACCCGCTGATGATGAATACATCCTCTGCCAGCTAGCAAAAATTTAATCCAACTTGCTAGGCACGTTGGACACTTTACTACTCCCTATACCATCCCACGGCTGGAGTGCAAAAATAGTGCGCATCTTTATTAAATCTGGTGCATCCTGCTAGTTCAGTACATAGCCTAGCAGATTCAATAATATTTTGAATTCAAATAATGTATGATTTTCTTCCTTTCAGTGTTGAAAATAATGTATGATTTCCTTCCTTTCAATGTCGGCGTATATACTTTTTTGGGGGGGTAAAAGGTAAAAAAGTTCCCCAACCCCTGTTTTAACCTCTCCTCCGCCAAAGCAGTGATTTTGACAAATAGCTTCTGGGGGGGGGGCTCTAAACTTATGAAGATCTGCTTTCTCGCTACTAGGAGCAGCAGGAAACCAGAGCTCTCTTCCTTACTCCCAGTACCCCACCTGAGTATTCAGGAGCTGTCATTATATATTTATAACAACAATTAATTTGTTAACAGTCATGTGTAAATTTTGGGTTCTAAGGTGACCGGTGTGATGAGTGCTCCAGTGGGTTCTATGGGAGTCCAAAGACAGCAGAGGGTCAATGTCTCCCATGCTCCTGTAACGATAATATTGATCCAGAAGATCCAGACTCATGTAAGGCAGATACTGGAGAGTGCTTAAAATGCCTATACAACACATCTGGACCAAGCTGTGAATTCTGCAAACCTGGCTACTTTGGATCAGCACTTTTAAGGACCTGCAGAGGTAAGCAAGCAGCCTCTCCAGTTCACCTTGCAGTCTGGAACAGGCTCCTGAAAGCTAAAGGAGAAAAAAAAACACCCATGTTAATTTGTGTAGAGAGTAGGTGAATATATAGGATCAAAGTGGATGTTATGTTTAGCCCTTATAAAAAAGTAGAGCTCCATTACGTGGTGAAAGCTTTCTCCTAGCATAAACTTCTCTCACTTCCGTCTCTCTCATTCCAATGTGCTCTGTTTTGTGATTGGTCATTGAAAGATAAACATGAGCTTAATTTGCTAGCCTTATTGCCAAACCATTTATCTCTGAGGGAACTGCATTGTGGGAAGAAGAATGTGCTATGTGCTGGTACCCATTTCTCTACTAGTAGTTCGACTCACAAACTGAATATTGGGAGCTCCAAAGAAGAGGAATGACAACAAAAACCAGACCTTAGCTTGGTCAACTGGACGGGCAATTCTGGTAATTAAGTTCAGTTTTGAATGAACTATATTTGAGAAGCAGTGAAAGATTCAACTAGATCCATGTGGAATCCTTCTTGAGGTGCAGGTCTCAAGAGACGAAAAGATTTGGATGAAGTGTAGTTGGAGATCTGCATGAATGAGTTACTGAAAAGCATGAAGAGAAAATAGAAGGGGGCTACTAACAGAACCTCAAAGTATTCTGCCCCAAAGAGGTAAAAATTGAAGAAGAGTCATTAGACTGAAAGGAGGAGAAGTTGACTTAAAATACTATTAGAATTTCAATCATGTCCATAACTATAATTCTTTCCCCCACTCCACCCCCAGAATGTAACTGCAACCCTTTGGGTGTGAACCCAGCAGAATGCCCTTCCGGAGACGGTCTTTGTATGTGTGATCAGACGACAGGGGCATGCCCTTGTTTGCCTAATGTGATGGGCTCCATGTGTGACCAGTGTTCTCCGGGTTACTGGAATATGGTCCAAGGAATTGGATGTCAAATCTGTGGCTGCAATCCGAAACATTCCCAGAACAACCTATGTGATCAGGCAAGATTATGAAATTATTCATCAGTATATTAGTTATAATACAGTTCTTAAGGATTCTTTCCAATCCAGTCCCCCCCACACCAATGAGAAGAGGCAGTATGGATATGAGAGAGATACATTTATATTTCAAAGCAAAAGAGAATGAAAAGTGGCAGGACGGCTTTTCTAGATGCTGTAAAATGCATGGGTGCAGAAAAATCTAAATATGAAGACTTTTTTCTTAGTGGCATTGACTTGAGCTGTTTTTCATGGCCCTGGGAGAATCAGGCTACATTACCACCTCTTTGTACAAACACTCAGTGGTGAAGGTGCCATTCCCCTATAGCACCATCCCATGTCTAAGCAAATAGAGAGTAGTGTGGATCAAGCCGCCTTATAGCCGGGATGCACTGTATGTTCTCATCCTAGTCAAGTACCAGTTGGGTTGGAATGTGCAATAGTACGCGCATGGGCCATTTAATAAACATGCACTCCCAAGGAAGTGGCTCTCACAGATGAGGTGGGGGGACAACACCATTTTGTATCTTCTGTGTGCATAACCAGAATGGCCATATTGCCATGTGGGAGTTTTAAGGTTAAACTTGTAAACCGCCCAGAGTAGTTATATACTGTCCTAAATGGGACATTATATAAATAAAATAAAATAAAATAAAATAAAATAAATAAAGACTGCTCAGAATGACAAGTAACTATCTCTACTTGGTTCCACAGTCCTATAGTAAGCTACAGCCAGCTATAGACGGGTACTATATGACTTCATCATTTGAGCGTATGCTTGTGAAGGAGAGAGAGAACATAAGTGCCAAACATGTAAGCTGTGAGGCAGAGGCAGACCATTAATCAGGAGCAGTCCCAAGTCTCCTGATACCATCTCCATAGTCAGATCTGCTGTGTAGAGCAGGATTCTGCTACCTTTAGTTCATTGGTGGTGATGGGCCCCAAGGTAGTCTTAGAGCCAGGCCTTGTGAGAAGACTGGAAAATGGCCTGTACTGGTTTATGACAACAGCAGTAGCAGTGTGGCTGCTACAGCCTCTTTCTCCCCAACTTCATCCTCATTCTTCTTCATGAATGGGGGCAAGTGCAGTCACAGCTGCAACTTACCTGGTATGGGGAGCTCTGTGTGGAGCATGGCCGGCTCAAGTACAGAAAAATGGTGCCAACGCAGAACTAAGTTTGCAATTCAATTAGCCAATAGGCATTTGAAGAAAAAAGTAAGAGGGTCTTTCTCTTTACTATAGACTCTTTTTGCAGTTCACAGGCCAATGTTCATGTAAACCAGGCTATATGGGAAGACGCTGTGATATATGTGATGAAAATACTTTCGGTGAATCTCAGATCCATAGTACTTGTAAGTAAGATGAAATTTGTTGGTCCTAACATTATAGTAAGTTTTTTTTAAAAAATGCTCATATTGTTGTTTTAATTAGGAAACAATTTCTGTTTTAGTACAATTATCAATTATTTGATTGATTGATTGATTGATTGATTGATTGATTTAATTTGTGTACTGCCCATTCAGTGAAAAAACACTGCTCCAGGCAGTTTACCACAAAATTAAAATACCCTAAGCAACCCAACTGACAAATGATAAAATTAAACTCTAATAGAAACATTAACCCAGGACATTAACCCAGCGAGGGGGTGCCCTCAAGAAAGGCCCCTATGCCAAAGCCATGCTGGGGATGAAGCTGGTGCTCCCCTACCAGCTGAAAGGGCTCGAATGGGACGCTGAGCATCTGACCAACCAGGAACAATGCTACTGCTACTGCGGGGGCCCCGGAGAGTGAGTCAGTTGTGCCCCGGTTGTGTCGGGGGGGAACGACGGGATGGGGAAGGGGGGCCTGAATCAGAAGAACTTCATTTACCACAAAGCAGGGAGGGGAGCATGTCCAGGCAGCTAGTGAGGAAGAGGAAGGAAGGGGGACTCAGAGACTGTGGCTTGGGGCTCCCTGCCTCTCCCTTCCGCAGCTGCGCCAGGTTCTAGGTCCGACTGGATTCTTCAGCCAGACCAGTTCTGATCTCAGCCTGTGGGAGCTGAAGTGGGGAACAACAACAGCCACTCTTAGTGGCCTTCATAGACCTTACAAAAGCATTTGATCTGGTTAGCAGGGATGGCCTTGTCTCCTTAACATCATCAGATCTTTCCATGAGGGAATGAAAGGCACTGTAGTTTTCGAAGGCTCAACATCAGACCCCTTGAACATCCGAAGCGGAGTGAAACAGGGCTGTGTCCTTGCACCAACACTTTTTGGGATCTTTTTTGCTGTTATGCTGAAGCATGCCTTTGGAACTGCAACCGAGGGTGTCTATCGCCGGACTAGATCAGATGGAAAGCTCTTTAATCTCTCTAGATTGAGAGCGAAGAGCAAAGTACAACTGAAATGCATGCAGGACTAGCTCTTCGCAGATGATCTGCTGAAGCCCTCCAACAACTCATGAATCATTTCAGGAAGGCCTGCCAAGACTTTGGACTAACAATCAGCCTGAAGAAGACACAAGTCATGGGCCAGGGCGTGGACTCACCTCCTTCTGTTACCATCTCCAAGGTACACAAAGTCATGAACTTTGTGTACCTTGGTTCAACCCTCTCTGACACCCTCTCTCTGGATGTTGAGCTGGATAAATGCATTGGCAAAGCAGCCACGATGTTCTCTAGACTCACAAAGAGAGTATGGCTCAATAAGAAGCTGACAACACATACGAAGATCCAGGTCTATAGAGCCTGTGTCCTAAGCACACTCCTGTACTGCAGTGAGTCCTGGACCCTTTGTGCATGGCAGGAGAGGAAGCTGAACACGTTCCATGTGCGTTGCCACTGACGCATTTTTGGTATCACCTGGCAGGACAAAGTCCCAAACAGAGTAGTCCTAGAACGAGCTGGAATTTTCAGCATGAATACACTACTGAAACAGCGACGTCTGCGTTGGCTTGCTCACGTCGTGAGAATGGCTGATGGTCGGATTCCAAAGGATCTCCTTTATGGAGAATTAGTTCAGGGAAAGCGCCCCAGAGGGAGACCACAGCTGCGATACAAGGACATCTGCAAGCGAGATCTGAATGCCTTAGGAATGGACCTCAACAGATGGGAAACCCTGACATCTGAGCGTTCAGCCTGGAGGCAGGCACTGCATCACGGCCTCTCCCAATATGAAGAGACCCTTGTCCAGCAGGCTGAGGCAAAGAGGAAGTCACAAAAGCAGCAAAACCAGGGAGCTGGACAGGGGACAGATTGGATTTGTCATCAGTGAGGAAGGGATTGTCACTCTCGAATTGGCCTCCTCAGCCACACTAGACGCTGTTCCAAGTCCTCCATACAGAGCACATTACCATAGTCTTTCGAGACTGAAGGATGCCTAAACTAAAAAAATAGAAACAACAAAAATAATACAAGGCAGCAATAGTAAAGCATATGGCAACAACGGGGGTAAAATAATACAAATAAGGGTAATTATTGCAAATTTTTGGTGGTGTTGGGGCCCCAGGCAGTCTTAGAGCAATTATTGCTTTAATTGTGGAAGAACTTTCTTTCCTATTTCATGACATATAAACCTTTGTTAGCTGGTAGCAAAAGTGACAGCTTATTGTTTTTGTCCCACCAGCATGTAAGTGTAACATGCATGGAACTCTGAAGCCTGAGTGTGATGAAGACACTGGAGTGTGCAACTGCCGCACTGGAGTCACTGGAAGATCCTGCGATCAATGTGCCCGAGGTTATAGCCAAGAGTTTCCTTCCTGTTCCCGCTGCCATGTTTGTTTTGATCAGTGGGATAATATAATTACTATCCTCACTCAGAAAATCCAGAAGTTAATGAAGTTTGCTGCAACACATGGAGACAAGAAGGCAGTGCCTGGCTGTGATATAGACTTCAAAGGCCACAAAGATACGATTTCTCAAATAGAAATGATTTTAAGAAGCCCTGTCTTGTCATCAGAGGTACTTTCGGACCTTAAGAAGGATCATGACCGTATTCGGTAAAATTTGTTTCCTAAAATAGAATGTTGCTCAGTCGGTCATCATGTGACACAATTATTGCATGCATATTTTACTGTGGATCTGGTGAAATCTTAGCATAGGAATGAACAGTGGGAAGCCTGTCCTTCAATTTAATCTCTGAAGACTTTGTATATGACTCTGAACATGGATCTTTGTTCCAAGGACCTTGTCCTCCCTTTCATAAACACATTACTATGACCTTCAGCCATGGTTACCTGAACCAAGGTACAAAGAGTTCTCTAAGAGTTAAATCAGGTAATACAGATAGCATGTGATTAAAAGCAGGAACTTCTTAAGTGCTGAAAGATGCCTGATTGTCACAGTGGGGTAAACACAGGCTTCATCTGCATGCTAAGGCACACAGATTTGCCAGAACGTGTCTCTGTGCTTTCAGCTTTTCATAACAAGCTACCTGTATCACTTGACTCTCCTTTACTGTGTATAGCATCAGTGGGTTCAGCAGAGCACTTTGCCTATTTCATACCTCAGTTCCCCCTTCACTATGCTCAAAGAAGTGGGAGGAAACACATAAGGTACCTAAAGGAAGATCTTTGCTGAAGATTCTGCTCCTGGAAACCTGATGCCCAGCATGGTGGGGCAAATGCTTGGGCCGATGGCAGCTAATGTTGGCTCTCCTATTATGAAAAATAAATGATTTAAAATGTTTTTAAAAGTCTGGGCAGAATCTTCTTGGTGAAACATGTTATGTTATGTATCAAAGGCATACTGTTCTGTGCAACCTTTCATTTGTGGTTGCACAAACTGGAGGTGGTCCCATTGGGAGATGTGGGGTTTCTGCATGCACAAATGGGGTAATACTCCATTCAACCCCTTTGCACCAAGAAGAAACAACCAACTGAGCAATGGAGCGCAGAGTATGCAGTAAAACCAGGAGGATTCTGCCCTTTACATATTGACCTAACATTCTGGAGAGAAATACTGTGTGCAAATGGGCAAATAGTTAACATAACCATTTTCTTTTAATGGGAATGATGGATGAAAGTCAACAGGCTGAAATTATTTGCATATAGGTTACATGCTAAATCTAGATAAAAGAGGCTATTCTGAGCCCCAAATCTTAGGTGAGTACTTATTGTTCTTTTTAGACAAAAGGTTTCCCAAATGTATCAGCAACCTGACATTTTGGATCAATTTCCTGACCTAAGCAGCGTGATAGAAGATATAAGGAAGGATGCTGACCATCTATCAGAAACCCTGCAAAAAAGAAGCGAGCTGTATCATAGGATTAATTACATGCAACTCCAAGGTGAGAAAACCTGGAAATACATTTTGTAAAATTAGAATTCAAACATGGGGTTGTACTGCAGAGGTTGTAGACTTTTTGGATTTTTGCTTTAAATTTAGGAATGCAGCTTATATTGTCCATGGTGCTAGAAAGGGCATCTAACCCACTGTTTGGTCCCCTGCAAGAATGGGCTGATTCACTCTTAAAGATGGCAATGAGATGATGCCTTTGTTGGAGTGAACCAGCCCACCCCCAGAGCCCCTTTCAAGGGCTTCTGCCTATTTTGTGGGAGTCAGATCACACTGGTTGGGATTACTTCCAGCACCTATGATCACTGAAACCAATCCAAAGCAAAATGTCCAGTTTGAATTTGCCAGTATCGTAAAATCTCTTAATAAGTGAGCCACTTCAGGATATTGGCAAATCAATCACTTCCTCTACTCCTCAGCCAAAAAAGAAAAGAAACAAAATCTGTCTAGCATATGGTGGCCTCAGCTAAAATGAGGACAGCAGATAATAAAAAAAGTAAAACACTGTATGACAGGTTTAGTGCCACATTGAGTTTCACCCTAAGCTGGTCCTTAGAGAAGAAGCCACATATTTTAGTGGGGGTTTATCCTGAATATGTGCAGTTGAAATATGTTAGCTGCTCCATTTAAGCAACTATGTATTGAATTCAGATTTGCTCAACAAAACAAGGAATTATTATCAAATGACACTGTCCGCTGGAGAGAGAATTAATGGAACCAAGGCTATCATAACCCATGGAGCTAAAACCAGGAGCATGGTAACAGCCATGTTAGAGGATCTGACCCCAAAAGAAAGCATTGTACTGCATCAGCTGAAGATGCTCAAGACTTCAGATATTCAAAATCTAAATGAAAAGGTAAGATTCTGAGTTGTGGGGGGAAAAAACTAGTTTACGGTTCAGAATGAAAACACAGTGCCATTAGCTAGTTTGTTAGAATAGGATATGGTTTATACATTATATATAGTACATGCCTTTTATTTCAAGTTATTGTATAAGCTGCAAGGGGCACATAGCTGTAGGTTAATTTAAAAGATCTTGAAGTGATAAAAGGCGGGTATAAATTTAAAACATTTGAAATCAACCCATAAACTAGCCTTCCAAAACCTGTTTCCTTTCAAATCTGTTGGACTAGTTCCCATTATCCCCAAACAGCAGGGCCACTTCCTAGCCAGCACAACCTAAAGCTGCAAGGTCCTAGGCACTGTCTTGAAAATGAGCCCTATTAAAATCAATCAGATGGCTATGGACATAAGATTAACTCGGGTGGGATCAGATGGGGAAATAGCACATATTTTGGACTGCTTGTGGCGTGGCTCGATGCGAACTATTTCCAAGGGATGATCCATGTCCAAGTTGAACCTTTTTGGTCCAGTGACAGGACCACCTTTTTTTTTGACTGGGCTTGAGCAATTCCTGCATGGACAGAATGGTCACTTTAATGGAGATCGGTCCTAAACAAGCAACCCTTTTCAACGTGGACACGATCCTTTCTTGCTGTCTGGTTGCACCCTTAATTTCAATATGTCTACCCTAGTATTAGTAAGCCTGGAACCAATTCAGTGGGATGTCTTCACTAGTAAATATGGTCCACACCAGGATATAAAAGTAAAAAGCCTCTCTAGTTTCTACTGGTAGGCTGCGTTATAAATACATGTTTAAGATAATATGAATTGCACATCTACAAGAGCAAAAAAAATATTCATGCCTATATGCCGATTAGTGGCCAGAAACCGACTAGCATTTGTGTACGATTTGCAAAACTTGCTACAGAGCATCTCAGGGGTGCTGTGGTGTTTGACCAGGCACACTCCCTGCCATCTCATCAGTTAGCAGTAATTAGCTGTAGACATTTAGGCATATTGTATGTAAATACTAGCAGAATTCTGACCTGTGTCTTTTACTTGGTTTTTTACTCTCTGCTCTGGAGAGGGAGTCTTTTTTACTTTTTAAAAAAAGATGAGCAAGAAAAATTCAAGGGGTATTGTGGGAGGGCTCTCCAAGTTCTATGGATGGGGCTATGCGACCACCAGACCTCTGGAGCTTGTCCACTCCATTCCAGACTCCATGTCAGACTCCGACTACGTATCTGTCACTGTCAATCTTCCCCTGCCACAACAGAGTGTAGAGCTATCCTGGGGTGAGTTTCAGGAACCAGTTAATCCCCTCTCCTATTGTTCTTTTGCAGAGGCTATAATTTGTGGTGGAAAAATAGCACACAGAATTTATCTTCGATAGATTTCTTTTATTGCCTCGTGGCATCTGTGCCTCTGTTTCCATGCAGATCTGTGGAGTGCCAGGAGACCTGCCTTGTGTTGTGGCAGTCTGTGGTGGGGCTTTATGTCAAGACAACCAAGGAAACAAACATTGTGGTGGTCCAAACTGTAATGGAGCACTCCCTCTTTCTACCAATGCCATTGGGAAAGCTGGTCAAGCAGCCACGTTATTAAAAAATGTGACCAGTCAACTGAAAGGAGCTGAAAATAAGGTACAGCAATTACAAATATTTCAGTATTGTCCTATTTATCTCAGATAAGGACTTTCAGTCGCCCAAGACTTTACAGACTTCATATTGTATGGAAGAAAGATTAGAATTATCCCCATTTAACAGATGGAAGACTAAGGCTGAGGAAGGAAGGAAGGAAGGAAGGAAGGAAGGAAGGAAGGAAGGAAAAAGTTATTTGTCTATATTATTTAGCAAGTCCACTGTGAAAGGATTTGGGCTAGAAATTTAAATCCTTGCTTGTTTTGCTGTTAGATATAGAGGGGGTTATTTTTCTGTTGGTCTTGAGCATGTTGCTTCTACAAGAATTTTTTTTTTGCAAATAATACAGATAACAGGTATTATGCAGACCTATGACTGCTGATATTTATTTATTTATTGAACTTTAATACCACTCAGTTAGTGCAAGATGATACTCTGATGCTTTACTTCATGAACGTTTAAGAATAAGAAGCATTGGGTTAGTTGTTTATTTCCTTTTGAATATTTACCCAAACGTCTCGTTATTTGTTTCACTCTTATTATGGAAGTCAGTAATATTGGGGGGCTTTAAAATTCCTTTTTGAGGTGTGACCTTTTGTTGTCAAACATGGGACATTTTGCAGCCCCTCCAAGGTCAGACAAGAGCCCTAATTTAGAAAAGCCCAAAAATATGCCATGGGATGGGAGAAGGTTTACAGTACTGTATTTCATTTCCAGGAATTCCTCTTATTGCTGATACTGATCCACTCTATCTCTGGAATCATGCCAATTCTCATACAATAGTCTTGGAAGTTCTAATAATGGACTGGAAGGTCCCATTTTAAAGACAGAGGGCCTAGTTCCTAGGGGCAAGAATATCCCCATGGCTACTCCTCATTGGTTATGTCCATGCTGTGCTAGCCCTGTAAGAATGGAGGGGGTTGCATGGGAAGAATTGTGCTGAGTGACAGTGTCCATCAGTCTGCATATCCTCTGTGCTACATTAATTCTCACATGATCCAGCCTGAAGTCATGTGGTTCCTCCACCATGACATTACCACGGTAATCAAGGGAACAGCTTTTGGAATTTAACAGCCATGATTTCTGGTGCACTAGACATGCGATTAAGAAAACAGCTGGGTTCGCAATTATTTTGATTGTTAAACCAGAAAACTGCTGGGTTTACAATTATTTTAAAACTGCTGTGTTTATACTTAGAGTATTTTGATTCTTAAATATCTCTTTGTCTCAGTACAGGATAAAATTTGGATTCTAGATAGGACAAGAATTAGGTTGAAGAAACCCGTTTGGTTTAGGATAACTACTGCTGCCAAAAATCATTGTCTATGACTAGATTTTAAAGTTGCCAATCTTATTTACTCATGACAGGCTCAGGGTTAGAATGTAACATCCGATCAGAGTTAGAAAAAAATAGATAGGATTCTAACTCCTTCAGATTAAATATATTTAGGAAAAATTAGAGAACCAAATCAGTTAAGATTAAGAGACATTTGTTTGGGCTTGATCACACCTGGCAAAAGAACGACAGTTATACCGATATGGCCATTTTTTAAGATCATTTCATAAACTTCCAAGCACATGATGCACAGCCACATCAACTCATTTTCCCAACCAATGGTTTATTTCCAGTTTATTTCCCCTTCACCAGGAGGTTTGTGTTATTTTGTACCGATAATGAATTGCTTAGTTTCTTATTGTTTCAGCCTGTGTGAATGTAGCTGTCAATTTATTTCCTTTGCAAAGAGATTGTGTTTCTGGGTGCCGTGGCCACTTTATGGCCACTGTGGTTGTACCATTTTTTTTTCTTTTAGAGATACAGTATATAGACAAATCTGCAGTAACAGTCACTGATGCTAGCAAAAACAGCATGAATACTGTATATTGGTCAGAAGGAGACAGCTCGAAGGACAAAGCCTTCCCTCCTCCCTTGCGGGTGAAAGAAGGATTGAGCAGAGGCATTTCCAGCTTTGAAGTGTAAAGAAAGAAGTGTTATATCGCCACATATTTTTTTAAAAAACTCTGCTCTTCATGATACTTCACAAGTCTTTCAGATCATGCTTCCTCTTCCCAAAGATGTGCAAAAGACTTGCAAAGTATCGTGCTGTCAATTTATTTCCATTGCAGAGGGGTCAGGTAAAGGAGGGAAGGGAAAATGGGATGAGAACAGAAGGCTTGGATCTCTCTATTGCACTTTCCATATATCACTTTTGTTTTTTAAAAAAAGGACAAGAGGGGGCATTATTGTCCCAAAGAACAGTAGAGAAAATGAATCGATACAAAATTAAGAGCAGTGTAGCCTTTTATAATGGTTCAAACAGAAAGAAATGAATTGATACATTTAAAAGCAGTGTGAACACCCCACCGCTATATATACCAGGTGACCAAATACTGTATATATATTGATACAATAGAGAGTAGAGAAAATGAATCGATACAAAATTAGGAGCAGTGTAGCCTTTTATAATGGTTAAAACAGAAAGAAATGAATCGATACATTTAAAACCAGTCTGAACACCCCACTGGTATATATACCAGGTAACCATATATATATAAGAACCCCAGTTATACCAATACATCTATATATAGGTACAATAGATGTATTGGTATAACTGGGGTTCTTTTCTCATGTGTGTTTGAGCCTTTAATTAAGCAGAATGTATCTGTAATATACACTCACAGATTGAAAATATTAGAAAAATGACTGAAGATAATAAGAAGAAAGCCTTACAGATAAATAGACAGCTGGAGAAAAATAAAGATCAATTAGAAAGAGAAGGAGAAAATGTGAAAGAGCTTATCAAGAGGCTGAAGAACTTCCTTTTAGGTAAATATACTGTTACCTTCTGTTTTCTTCTATTCGCAGTATAGTTGCAGGTTCATATGACTGATTATAGGAATCCTGTTTGTACATGCTTTGTAAAATAGAAAAAAAATGTACACATTTAGGCAAGTAGACGTGATATTCAGCATTAGCTAAAATATTTAGCATTAGCTAAATATTCAGAGTACTTTGAAGTTATCTCACATACCTGTAAGGAATTTGGTGTGCTTTTAACGTTGTAAGCAGAGTACAAGACAGAAAAACGTACTTCTAGTAGAGATAGGCATGAACCTCATTTTGGAGGTTCCTGCCAGTTTGTACGTGTGGCACCACAGGTGCTGTGTGCTGCCTTTCCCTGCCCTCTCCATCTGAATCCCCCACTCAACAACTGGTGTGCACTCCTCTCCAGCTGTTCAACCAGTCCCCGGCAGGAGCACCGGCTTCCCTGTTTTTCTTAGGTCAAGAAAGGTTCAGGGAAGGCAGGGAAAATACAGTCCAGGCAGTACAGTACCAGGCAGTCCGAAGACTGTCTCCCAATCCACTCTCTAAACGCTGGGAGGAGTGAGGAAGCAGACAGGCACCCTTTTCACTGGCCAACAGTTAACTGAAAGTTCAAATTTTGCACTTTCCCTGCCTCCCACGTGGTTTTTTTTTCAGTTCTTAACTCAAATCTAAGTACTTACCGGTAAGTCAAGTCAATATTTTCCTATGAGAGCGGTTCTTAAGTCAAAATGTTCTTAACTCAAGCCGTTCTTAAGTCAAGACCCCACTGTACTTTGAAGTTATTTCACATACTGTAAGGAATTTGGTTTGCTTTTAATGTTGTAAGCAGGGTACAAGACAAAAATTAGAAAAACGTACTTCTAATAGAGATGGGCATGAACCTCATTTTGGAGATTCCTGCCAGTTTGTACGTGTGGCACCACAGGTGCTGTGTGCTGCCTTTCCCTGCCCTCTCCATCTGAATCCCCCACTCAACAACTGGTGTGCACTCCTCTCCAGCTGTTCAACCAGTCCCCGGCAAGAGCACCAGCTTCCCTGTCCCCCCCACTTGGCTGATTGCCTACTTAGACAAGGAGGCAGGACAGGCAGACCTATGCTCCTACCAGGGACTGGTCAAACAGAAGGACAGGAAAGGAGTGTGTACTGGCTGGTGAGTGGGTCATTGGCTGGGGAGGCAGAGGACGGAATGCATGGCACATATGATGCTGCGCATACAAACTGGCACAAACCTCTGAACGTCATGCCCATCTCTAGCTTCTAGCAAGCCTTCTAAATCCGCAGTTTGACTCCCATAAGAAATAAAACCCGAGCATTTATTTGTTAATGTTACAAATCTGATTATATCCCATTGTTCTGTGAGTTATTAACTCTGTAAGACATTTTGATTTTATTATTCAACCATGGGTTTAAAGGTTAATGATGACTCAAGATGTTTTGTTTCCTGAAGCAGAACAGCAAATTATGGCCCCTTCGCCAAGTCCAGGTGTACAGTACCCAAGACTAACTGTGACATTATGACACAGGAGGCAGAAAATTCCACAAGTGCTTCTCTCCTTCCCTGGGAGTAACAACCCAACAATTGCAAAGTACTATCATGCCATCCCAAATTCGCCACCTGGGGGTACTGCCTAGTGTTAGAATTTATTTATATAATTTAATTTAATTTAATTTATAAGCTCCCCATTAGTACATGGCACTCTTCTCTGTGGTGAACATAGCGGTGAAATCCAAAATAAAAAAATATAATAAAAACAAAATAAAATGATACAGTTATAAAGTCATAAAATTTACAAACTAGTAAAACTCCTAGTAGATGATCATGTCCTCCATGCCTGATCTCCTCACTTGAACCCTTTTTTTTCTCTTTGGCTGCCCTGCCTCTCTGAGGACCACACAAGATGGGATATTAAAGAGCTACGAGTAGGATCTCAGCTACAACGGGTTAGGATGAGGACCCAGTATGAATCAGGCTCGTGGTGCTATGGCATAACTAGTGGTTTTTTCCCCCTGTCATTTCTAACAAGAATTTTCCTCTGAAGTTGCTGGATTTTAGGCACCACGAGATGCATGCCTCTTGTTGCTTTATTAGGCAATCTTTTATTACAAAAACCAAACCAAACCAAAAACAGAAATGTAGTGGTGTACTGGAAAACCAAACAAAACAAAACAAAACAAAAACAGAAATGTAGTGATGTACTGGAAAACATTTGAGAAAGCACAGACCTTATGCAGTTCTCTCCCCAATTTTCTAAGAGGAGAGTGCCCCTCCAGAGGACATTGAAAAGGTTGCCAATTATGTCCTGGGCATCAATGTGTCAGGGACTCCCCAAGAACTGATACAAGTGCTGGACAGCCTGAAGGGTCTTATGACACGTTGCGATGACTCGGCAACATATGTGAATGAGCTAAATAAGCAAGTGGAAGAGGCAGAGGAACTTCTGCTGAGAGCACAAGAAACTGAGTAAGTACAATATTCTCTTAAATAATACCTGTAATGTGAAAAACAGATCTATGTTGTAGAAAAATATACTTTTTTCCTGTCTGCCTTCATTTACATGAGGAAGTGTAATCAAATGCCTGCATGTTTTCTCTTGTCTTTACTGCAAGAATGACTTTTCAGTCAGCCTATAGGTAGACCAATAGGAACTGAGTTGTCTGAATGGTTTGTACATTTTCATTTATAATCATATTCTTATTTATCCCTTCTTCCCCATTATCACAATTTACATTTTGATAATAAGCTTCCTGGAGCAAAGACATGACTTTTTGTTTGAATGTTCATTTATTTGTAAAGTTCCACGTATTGAGGAACCACTAATAATGATTATTATGGTTATGATGACTATGTGCCATCAAGTCAATTCCAACTTACAGTGACCCTTTCTAGGTAGAGGGTACTCAGAATTTACCATTCCCTTTTTCTGGGGGCATTCTGGGACTGTGCAGCTTCCCCATATCCACAGCAGCTGGCTCTTTTGGGATGCACGCTGGGGAACTGAACTCTAGTTCCACAGCTAAATAATTCTATAATAATAGGTTTTAAAAGAGTGTCTGTCTTTCTTTCTCCAGAATAGCTCCAAACCCATGAAAAGTAAATATCCGAAACGTGGTGTTGAAAACTAAGGGGATTCTAGAGGAACAGAACTTGCAGTTAACTTGTTTTGAATATACATCATAGTGATTGATTTTACTTAATTAAAATAGGATTGTTGCTTCCTGCTGTGTCAGCTTTAGCCACTAGATACCAGCCTATCCAATGTAGAGGGACCAACTGGTTTCCCCACAGGACCCCCCCCCAGGTTTCTCGCTGGAGGGAGATTTGAGAGACCTGTTGCTTGGTGAGGGTGGGAGGACAGGAAAAGATTAAATGAGCAATGAATGGGCTAGACCACCGAGGGGGAAATGAGTGGGGAAGAGAGAAGGAGAAGGAACTGCAGAGGGCAAGAAGAAAAGCATGAAGGGGAGGACTTCAAACTCATGCAAGGCTGGTATAGACTGGATGAGTACAGGGCTGAATGGAGAGAAAGACCAATGAAAAAAGAAATGAGAGGAGAATCCATAATGATCACTGGTTTGTGGGGAGGGAGACTATGGGATTTCTATCACAGACAAATCTGCTACAGGTTGAATGAGTACCAGATTACAGGCAGAGAAAGATTAGAAAGAACAGAATTGGGGGAAGGAGACCCCCAAAACAGCACCAAATTGAGGGGGAGGACTAACAGATTTTTAGCCTTGCTAATGGTAGTAAATATGCTGGCAGTAGTTTTCTTGAATTTCTGAAGATGCAGAATTTTTTAAATACTTAGGAATACAACAAAAGCTCTTCTAAACCCTGATGAATTGATAATCAACTTAGACGAAGTGGAGAAAATTCAAGGCCAAACCAGGGAAGACTTTGCAAAACTGAATGAGAAAATAGAAGAATCTAGAACAAAAATAGCCCAGGTATTCTAACAACTTTTGCAATTATTTTAATGTTGAAAGCCAACGTATGTGCATGCAGGAATACATCAGTAGTATTTTCCTCATATTCTGACTTCTTACTTCAGTTGGCTTGAACTTGATAACAAAGCATTCCCCTTCCTTGAAATGTTTTTGATGTATTTCTGTTTCATCAGCTTTTGAAAATAACAGAGTTGTTCTTCCTTGTGCCCTTTCATATGTTATATTTGCAAAGCATGACATGAATGCCAATAATTATTTTATGTTTAAAATACTCCTCTTTTATCAAAGCTATTTTTAAAGTTTTGAGTCTCGTCATAACAGCATGGTGCATCAGATTCCACACATACCATCTTCACTCTTTAGTTTTGTTAATTTAAGCTAATTATTTAACACTTGATCTCAACACTGTTAATGAGTGTCATCTGTGGTATTAAAGAGTATAAACATATGTAAATTCATGCAGGTTCTTGGAATCGTGCAACTTTTGGAAACTTTTATCCATGGCACCAGTGCATCATAGCAACTTTGTCCTACTACCTCTGGAGAATTATATTTAACAAAAAAGGGGAAAAATAGTATTTACACACTTTGGGGAACAACTTGGTTGTGATTTCTTTGAGTTACAAGTATAGAACTACAATCTATATAAACTGTAGTTATATAATTTATAGAGCCTGTATCCCGAGCACACTCCTGTACTGCAGCGAGTCCTGGACCCTTTGTGCATGGCAGGAGAGGAAGCTGAACACCTTCCATATGCATTGTCTCCGACGCATATTTGGTATCACCTGGCAGGACAAAGATCCAAATAGAGTAGTGCTAGAACGAGCTGGAATTTTTAGCATGTATACATTACTGAAACAGAGACATCTACGTTGGCTTGGGCATGTCGTGAGAATGGCTGAGGGTCGGATTCCAAAAGATCTCCTGTATGGAGAATTAGTGCAGGGAAATCGCCCCAGAGGGAGACCACAGCTGCGATACAAGGACATCTGCAAGTGGGATCTGAAGGCCTTAGGAATGGACCTCAACAGATGGGAAACCTTGACGTCTGACTGTTCAGCCTGGAGGCAGGCAGTGCATTATGGCCTCTCCCAATTTGAAGAGACCCTTGTCCAGCAGGCTGAGGCAAAGAGGCAGTTCCGAAACAAGCAAAACCAGGGAGCTGGACAGGGGACAGATTGGATTTGTCTTCAATGTGGAAGAGATTGTCACTCTCAAAGTGGCCTCTTCAGCCACACTAGACGCTGTTCCAAGACCTCCGTACGGAGCATGATACCATAGTCTCTCGAGACTGATGGATGTCTACAGATATAAATTGTAACAGGAGAATAAACTAGCTGATATGCAGTCTCGAGACTGAAGGATGCCTACAGATATAAACTGTAACAGGAAAATAAACTAGCTGATATGCAACAACCAAACTGAGGGCCTGGTTCTGCTGACAATAAGAATTAGAATATGCCATGGTTCAATTGTAATCAATCCTGAATCAATCTACATAAGAATTAGAATATGCCATGGTTCAATTGAAATCAACCCTGAATCAATCTACAGTCACGTAGTATTTAATTTGCTGTTTCTGTTCACCTGTGTTAAATTTGTATGTGTTGCTTTTTAAGCGACTCGCTATGCGGGGCACCACTGTATTTAATGTGCTGTTTCTGTTCACCTGTGTTAAATTTTTATGTGTTGCTTTTTAAGCGGGGAGGGAAACACACACATGCAGCTCAGTGCCATAGGATCTGGCAGATGCACATGTGCAAGTGCATACGCTCACACATGCACAGAAGAGGAGAGACAGATTTAGAGCTACCTGAAGTGCGAGAGTGGTTTCTCCCCCCTGGATGCAGGAAACACAGACCCTCTGCCTTGAGAGCGAGCCAGTGGGAAAAGAGGAGGAGCAGGAGGAACCACTATGCCCTTGGGGCTCCAATTTCTGGGGAAACTCTCCCTGTGGAGAGTTTCACCCGAGCTCCAAACTACTTCAATACCTGGAAGAGGAAGAGAGGGAGGAGCAAATGCAACATTCATCCATCCCCTCCAACTGCTCTTTAGAGGTGCAAAAACATTAATTCACATGATTTCTATATGTAGGACCATCCCAAACCTCAAAACATGGGTCCCAGGCATGCCTTAGATTAGTAGTCTGTGAGCACAGATGGGATCTATGATTTGATGGTGGTTTGGGGAGGATCTCATATAAAAGTAATTCGAAATCATGAAATAACCTCTTCCTTCTCGTCCTCCCCCTCTCTTCCTCCCTCCTTCCCTCCCACTATCCCAAACAAATGAGTCTCCCTCTCTGCCAAGCTGAAGGTTCGCTTGCAGCAGCTGGCAGACAAAGGGCCTTCCTCCTACTCACCTCTTTTCTCTCCTTGGCAGAGGAGAGACTGAGCACACACACGAACTAGCACAGTGACATAGAAATGGGGAGCAATTTTCTCCAACCGAGGAGTGTACATGGGGCAAGTCAATTCATATCACATCAGCTCCCAAATAAATGAACCTTGGGCAGAGGAGCAGAAAAACTCACTCCCCTATCAATTACTCAACACATGCACAAATCTCATGTAAACACCCAAGTTTAAATTGATGTAAAACATGCTACTCTTGATTTAAATGGGGGGGGAAGGGTTGAGTAGTGGGATTCGGCTCTTATGCATACTAAGCAAGTAGAACAACCAAACATTTAATAAATTATAAATTCATACACTGGGCTTAAATATGTGGTGAAATGGCCTTACTGATTGCACTTCCTGTTGGCATTGAGAGTAGAGATGGGCACGAATCTTGATTTGGAGGTTTTGCTGGTTTGTGCACCATGTGTTCCCTTCTTTCATATTCCTGGCCAGATTCTGCCCCCCCCACCCCACTGGCTGGTGTGTGCTCCTCTCCTCCTCCTCTTAAGCTGTTTGACCAATCTCTGGCAGGAACATGGGCTTCCCTGCCCTGCCTTTTTGACTGATCACTCACACAGACAAAGAGGCAGAACAGATGAACCTGTACTGCTGCCAGAGAATGGACAAATAGTCAAAGAGGAGGAGGAGAACAGCATGCACCAGGTGGCGGGGAGGGTATTTGGCTAGGGAGATGGGGGAAAGGAATCCTGAAGCGGTTGCACCCCAGAACTTTTTCCCTCTGTGTCCTGCCCTCAAGCCTTGTCAATCACCACCCCTCTCTGCCTCGAGGCCACGGGCTTTCCTCCAGTGACGTCAAGGACTCATCCTCCCCCCCCTTTCCCCCAGTGACGCCTCTGCTCTTTCCAGGGCTTTACCTCTCTCACCCACACCCCACCTCCAATGGCTCAGTGTGGCGTGGGAAGGGAGGCAGCTAATTGCGCCCCCTCCCCCCGCTCATTGCTAGTCACCTGGCCCCTCCTCCTTCATTCATCTCAGGCCAGCAGCAAACGGTTCTACGAACCAACTGTACATTTAGGAATTGGTTCTATAGAACCAGTGTGAACCGGCTGAATCCCACCTCTGAAGGAATCTCTGAACTGAGGTTCATGCTCATCTCTAATTGAGAGCATCTGAGGGAATTTGGGTGCAGCTGCATTGGTCTGGCAGGGCCCAGGTGGCTAGGCTGAGGGTGTTGAGGAAGTGCTGGCATTGGACCTAGGCAAATAGGGGTTTCTGAGGGTGCTTGTAGGAGAGAAAAAAGAATGGTTGACAAAGGGGCTGCAAGATAAGAAGAAAGAAACCTGTTTCACAGAGGTTTGTTCTTCATTTCATTGTGTTACCATGGCACAAAGAGGAAAGTAGAGTCAACACATTTGCACCCATAGCCTGATGCTCTGCTTAGTTTTTTCTCACTTCCTCTTCCAGATCTATCTTTTGAACTGTTTTTGAACTATTTTTACCTCAACATAAAAAAAAGCGAAACGCTTACCGGTCTGCGCAAAGCGAATTTTTCCCTATGGGAACAACGTTGTGCGATCGCATTAGCGATCCGAAAAAACGGATCGCTATGCGATTTAATCGTTATACGATGCGCTCGTTAAGCGAGGCACCACTGTATTTTTACCTCAACATAAAAAAAAGGCTGTGGGCTTGTAGAGGAGACTAAAAGCACTACAAATGGGAGCCTGGCAACAATCGTGCCTGTTGACATTTTTGGGACGGGACAAGATTGTGTTTAGAGACAATCTCTGTCCCCGGGAGCAATTGGTCATTTGGTGATGTGTATTTCATGGGGCTTAGGATCTGGAGGTGGGGGGGGGACAGAGGATCCCATCCATACTAAAATATGTACTTGTACAAATTTTTCAGTCTGCTTTATGCATCTAGGGAAGTAGGGTGTTACTTAGAAGAGCTGATATCACAATTGGCTGGTTATATTTATGAGTTTCTGCCCTGAACTCATATCTTATTGCATATCTATCTTCTAGTACTGCTTATAAATATTCTGTTCATCATTATTATCATATTTCTGCAGACTAGGAACCAAACAAGCAGGACTGATGCTGAATTACAGAACTTCTCAGAAAAACAGTCTGAAATGGAAGAGGAAGTAACTTCCCTGAAGACTAAAATGCAGATGAATAGGAACCAAGTCACAAATGCAAGATCAGAGGCAGAAAAAGCACAGAATCAAGCCATATCAACAAATAAGGTAACATATCTCTGTTACCTGAACAAAAAAGCAGAAAATGAATACTCCTGATTAAAAGTGTGGTAATTTACTTGCATCTGTTTACTCTTTTTAGACTCCAGTGCACAGAAATATAGTGGCCATTACAGCTGCATTCCTATACACAGTCATTAAGGATTCAGTCCATTTGAGGTCACTGAAACTTCTGAATACTCCAAACTAAATAAATGACTGAGTACAGTTAATCAGAACCTTTAATAACCACAGGTGTGGCTAGGATTGGAGAGAATCTGCAGGATGTCATTCCTTTATCACAGTCCTACTTCCCCCTGGCCCCTTTATAGCCATCCTTACATTACAGTGATTGAATGAGATCAGTTATTACACAACTGGAACCTGAGATTATTGCACAACCAAATACAGAAGGGGAGCCTGAGCCACACAACTCTTGTCATCACTGGCTAGCTTACAACAAAATTACTGTCAAGGCATACTTAGAACAGACCAGCATCCCTGCCAGAATAAAACACTTGCTATATAAGTGTTGTTTTCTCCTTTTCTGTTTCTCTCAGAATCTTACTTGGTGCATTCTTTTTGTTAGGAAGTAGAAAGTCAAACTTGATGATTAAATGAAACATGTTTAATAAAAGCAAAGCAAAAGGTTTGCAAGACTCAGAGGTCTGTCAATGTGATCTCTCATGGACTATAATTCAGTTCCTCTGAAGAAGTGCATTGCAGTTCACAGAAGCTCACACAAAAAAATAAATCTCTTAGGGTTTAAAGTGGCACGGTGCAGTTGTTCATGTTTTGTTTTTGATATACTGTATATGCAGCAGCAGACCAACATGGCTGCCTCTTTGTAAACAAAACTTGAGGCTTTTTTCTCCTGTTGTTGCTTGCCTTCTCAATGGGCAGCTATGGTCCAATGGATTGCTTGTTGTTTCAGGATTTTGCTGATCTTAAAATAGAGTATGCCAATTTGCAAGAGAAACTCAAAACCAAAGGCCTGTCGTTGGCAACCTTAGAGAAACTGAACCAGCTTAAAAAAGAGGCAGAAGAACTGATTCAAGAAACAGAAGAGAAAGCAAAAAGAATATCAGGTATAGAATGTATCAGGTATAGAACATAATTTATATCAGGTATAAATTACTCACACACAGAGTGATGCACAGACACTTTGCATGACATGAATGTTGTCAGTACAGTAATGCTGCATTGATGTGTGGCTGTATCTGCCTGCTTTTTTGGCTTGAATAGTAGACTACTAGACTTGCCTGGACAACAGGTGACATGGTTAAATGCACCAAGTCCCAGCCGCATACCATCTATCTGGATTTGGTGTTCTTTAGTAACTGTATTTATTTCAAATGTACAAGTTGAGCCTGTGTGGAGATGAAGCTTAAAGCAGTTGAACTCACAATTAGATCTGGTACTTTTGTTCTAGATACTTAAGGGACACAACCAACAGCCTCCAACGATACTGTTACCTATTCAGAGCTGAACAGGGCATGGTACTAGTTGTCTTCCAAGGTCCTTTCCAACTCCCCAGTGCTGTAACACTGTAATCAAGCAGAGATTCCTTGGCTGGCAAGCTAATACGAAAGGGTACCTACCCTCAAGACAGAAAGCTTCAAAGCTACTTTTGTAAAGTGTACCAGAGTCGTTAGGATTTGGTTGACTGATGGTTCCTCACCACTTTATTTTTTTTTTTAATTTCAGGTTTAGAAAAGAAAATACAAGATCTGAATCAAATTAAACAAGATAAGGCCGACCAGTTGAAACAACTGGAGGACCAGGTCATAGCTATCAAAAATGAAATCACCGAGCAGGCAAATAAATATGCGACTTGTAAAAGTTAAAGTCTAAAGTAACCAGAATGAGCTTTCTATAATTAGAAACACTGGACAAATTGGATTACTCTGATAACACTAAGGTGGTGTTTTATGGCTTATTGCAAGGTGGTTTTTAATGGTTTACTGTAAATACATGGAAGAATATATCCTTTCTGATTAAAGCATACATACAGAACTAGGCAGCATCTGGATCAAACTGAGGTATCTAGAGGTATTCTAGAAGTGAAGGCTAATATCTAAAAATCCTGTTGTATCATTTTAATTTTTTTTAAATTTCACTATTAAAGCTGTGCCAGTTTTGCACAAGTCTATTGACAATCGTGCTATTTCTCTCATTCACTTCCTGAGCATGAAAATCAAATTATATTCCACTATTGAATATATTTATTCATTAGCTCACCACCTCTCATATTCTGCTATTTACTGTTCCATACACGAAACGGTTGTCATGTGTATCTCTGGAAGGGAGGAGCATTTGCAGGGTAACTTGTGCAAATAAAGATTTTAGTGCCTTCTGTGGCTGCAGACAAACTTGCTGGCTTTGTTGTGCTTATTTACAAGCACTATATAGTCTGCTTTTAATGTAAGGTTGAAGTGAATTATGGTGTTATGATTGGATAGCCTATGATGTAGGCAGAAACTTATTTCTATAAATACTAGTTCAACTAAAAACAAGGTCAATCATACAGTACGTTCTATTTATATCAGTACAATACAAATACAGCACAGTTGTTTTGAAATATTAGTCTTAAAAGAGGGCCATGGATTCTCTGTTCTCAGAAAAAGGTGCATGTCTCCACAGTATACAGCTTAGGGTCTAGTGACACCCTAAATAAGATAGCTCTGTGGTTTGGTAGAGGTTGGGAGTTTGATTCCCCACTGTGCCTCCTTGACAAGGGCCAGACTCAAAGATCCATAGGGTCCCTTCCAGTTCTATAGTTCTAAGTGTACTACCATGTTTCCCTGAAAATAAGACAGGGTCTTATATTAATTTTTGCTCGAAAAATGCATTAGGATTTTTTTTTCATGTACAACTACATTTATTCAAATACAGTCTTGTCATCTTCTTCTGGCTGCTGCACAACAGTGGAGGGCGGGGTTTCCCTTAACTGGGTCTTATTTTGGGGGTAGGTCTTATAATCTGAGCATCCTGAAAAATCATACTAGGGCTTATTTTCAGGTTAGGTCTTATTTTCAGGGAAATAGGGTATTGAAGCACTATTACATAGTTGTTTTCTAGATTGGCGTTTTGCTGGCATGAGAATTCAGTGGTGCTGTTCAGTTGCATTGCTTGCAAAGTTACGGGCAAATTTTCATCACGTACAATGTTGTTCTTGTTGTTTAGTGGTTAAGTTGTGTCTGACTCTTCATGACCCCATGGACCAGAGCACGCCAATAGCTCATCACGTACAGTAGATGGCAGCAAATGGTTATTTAAAAATTCACTCTCACACACTCTTTCCAAAAAAAATTGCTTTTATCACCAGTTTTCAGAGAAGTTGCTATTTTATTCTCTTTCATCATGTATAACAAAAGAAAAGCAAAAGTACAGAATTTTGGGGATGTAGATTACATCCTGGCATGGCAATTGTAGTTAATGATCTGGTTAAATTGATCCAGGAAGTACCTTGTTTTTATTGAATCAACTTCTGATTCAGAGACTAGACTCAATGCCTATACAGTAGACTTTAGAGAAAAAACATATTTACATTTTCAGTAAGCTGAGAATTCTTGGTCTTTATTAAAGACTTTGGACATACTCTGGAATTTGTGTATGAAGCTTACTTATATAAGGTGCCTACATTTTTTCCACTTTTTACCTCACCTGAGGAAGAGGTAGCTCGTACATTCCTCGGTACAGAGGGTAAGGGCACATGTATGATGCTCCGTGTCCCACTGTCTCTAGGAAGAAACATGGAATTTAAGGATACGTCTTACATGAACAATATTCACCACTTCCTATTACCTCCTCATTTCTGCTTTACCAGCTAATGTGGTAAAATCATGTTAATCTGAATTATTGTATATCATATGGATGATATCATAGATACTATTCACACCCTTCACATGGGTGCTTATGTAGGGGGGTGCTTACAACCTTCAGAAAATGTTGTAAGCACACAAACACCCTGATATAAAGGGTAGTTGCATTCATTAATGGGTTAAATAACAAATATTCACCCTCATACATATAGACATCATTGCCTTGTTTTCATGTCCTGTACTTGTGCTCCTCACACTACACATTGCTCCTCACACTGGACAAGTTAACACTTTTAAAGGTAAAAACATGAAACTACATCCATTTAATGTGATAACAGAGCCCCTTCCAGCTCTGCAGTTCAAAAAGGATGGATGGATTAAATAAAACACATTTATAGTATATTGAGACAATAACAGCTGGAGCTTCTATTTATACTGACACGTTTTTCTTTTCCAAATATGTAATCTATTATTAATTAATTGTAATTGACTTTATTTTAATCATGTGTCATCAAGTGCATTCCAACCTATGGCAGTACTCCCAGTGTTTTCTCCGTTTAAAGCACACAGAAACAGTTTGCTGGTCTGTCCTTCTGGTGCCTCTCTGGGACTGTGCAGCTTGCTCAAAAAGCATAGGTGGCAGGACAGATAACCCATCAGCCATCGATGCTCTCGTTGACCTTCACTGGTCCTTCTTTCAGGACATAAATGGAGATTCAACCTCTGAGCCTCTGGCTATGCAGAGAGACACTCCAACTCAAATGGTTCACTTATATATTGTCCCAGAACGACACATAGCACAATACTATTAGAACAATTGAGTAATAAAATAATTCACATAAATGATAAAAAAAATAAAAATTAGCAACAAACTGAAGCCTGTTAGTTGTTGTGGGTTTTTCGGGCTCTTTGGCAGTGTTCTGAAGGTTGTTCTTCCTAACGTTTCACCAGTTTTTGTGGCCGGCATCTTCAGAGGACAGGAGTCAGAACTTTTGTCTGTGCTCTGGTGCAGTTTTGTGGGATAGTTTAGTACAGTATTTATAGCTGTGGGGTCAGCTTTTGTCCTTTTCAGGAGATTGGGTGATTATGGTGATCAGCGTGTTTTTTGTTGTGGGTGTATTGTTGTAATAAGGGGGACAGATGATCTGTCACTGTGATTGATGGGTGTTGTTAGCTGAAGCCTAATGATGCATTACCATATAATGGACAAACTCCATTTGCATAAAGTTACACTGGCATAAACCAGATTTCACACCGGAAATATTTAATTTAAACTAATGAAATGTTTTCTTTTCCCTCCCTTTCAGTTTATGAGGCTCCCTAGGGCTCCTTCTTGCCCTGGAGAAGCCTTTGGGAGCCTCAGGAGCACTTAATAGTAAAAAATTTGTCACGAAATCACAGCTGGTGATCTGAATCTCAGCAGTGTCCAGCAGCACCATTTTTTTACTACTGTTACAACTAGTCAGTAACTAGCATTGTTCACTCTGGCTGGTGGGGGTCCTTCATGTCCTCAGGCGATGATTGTTCACATCACTCTCCACTTGATCTTTTTAACTGGACTTATCAGAGGTGGAATGTGGGGCCTTCAGTGCACAAAGCATGTGCTTCCCCCTTGAATTACATTCTCTGTCTCCACTCAGCGTGTTATGAACCATTACTGGGAACTTAACAGCCAGCAAATGTGAGATTCTGCTGTGTTTTGCTAGTGATCACCACATTTTTTCATGTTGCAACTGATTCTGTCTTTATCATATTTGACCCCCATCCCACGCCATTCTCTGCTCTCCGGCTCTCTTAAAGGTACATTTGAAATCCTAAATGGAAGAGGGCTTTCTCTTTTGTTCACAGAATCATAGAATAATGAAGGCTATTGAGTCCAGTCCCCTGCTCAATGAATGAATACAAATATAGTTAGGAAGTTTTTTTTCCTGATATCCAACCAAAATCTGGCTTCCTGTAGCTTGAGCTCATTGTTGTGTGTCCTGAGCTCTGGGATGAAAACAGATCCGACCTCTACTCTGTATGATAGCTTTCCAAGTATCAGAAAAGTGCTATCATATCTCCCCTCAAACTTATTTTCTGAAGGCTAAACATACCGAATTATTTCAGTCTTTCCTCATAAGGCTTGGTTTCCAGCCCCCTGATCATCCTTGTTGCCCTCCCCTGAACTTGTTCCAATTTGTTGCTCCCAGATTTTGGAACTCCCTCGCACAGGAGGCCAGCCTGGCCCTGTCTTTGCTGTCCTTCCACAAGCAGGTTAAGACCTTTCTCTTCAGGCAAGCTTCCTGAGTGGGTTTTTCAATGGACAGTTGTGTCTTTCTGCTTTGAATGGGTTTTTGCTGTTGCTTTTACTTACTGTCCTTTTGTGCAGCATTTTTTAACATCCTTTTTAGTATTTGTACACTTACTGTTTTTTTAGCTTTAAATCTGGTCTTTTAATATTATAAGCCATCTTGGGTCCTTCTTAAGGAGAAAGGCAGGCATAAAGTCAACAAGGAAACAAACTACAGTGGACCCTCGACTTACAGACGGCTCGACTTACAGACTTTTCGAGTTACAGACTTCTCTGGCTGCAAAATTTAGATTCGACTTGCAGCCGGAGAATCGACTTACAGACCGGAAAAAAACCCAAAATGGAGCAAAAATAGTTTAATTTATATGCCGCCCACACTACCCAAAGGTATTTGTACACTTACTGTTTTTTTAGCTTTAAATGTGGTCTTTTAATATTATAAGCCATGTTGGGTCCTTCTTAAGGAGAAAGGCAGGCTTAAAGTCAACAAAGAAACAAACTAGCAGTTGTTCATGCTGGGTATTCACATAAAATGTCTGGGAGCACAATATGACAGTATTTGGGGCTCCATTTTAACTTCTCTCAGAAAGAACATGGGGCAACTTGCAACGACTCTTAAATGCATTTGACAGGTTACAGAAGATTGCTAACAGTCTACTCAGCACCTCACAAAGCTACTTCCTACTCTACACCTCCCACAGCCACTCGACCAGCACACCCATGGAAGCTGTAGTTCAAAATAAAAACAAGCACTTTTCCAAGTTTTGCTTAAATCTGACTTTAAAAAAATTAATACTGTCAACATCCCCCCCCAAAGCTAACCCTTTCCCCCCCAGTCCAGTCTCAACTCAAAATAATTTGTGTCACTGAGAGGTTGGAATTTCCTGTGGGATGGAAATCTGTGTGCTGTCCCCTGGCTCTTGTTCTGACTTGGCTGATAATTTGAACTTATTACCCTAGCTCTAGACATGTTGGGAAATGAGTTGCCACCACTGGCGGCAATTCTTTCCAACAGGCTTTATTCTTAGATTAACCAGATGTAGAATGGAGAGGGTGATGTGCTTCCTTCCTCCTACAAACTATAATATTGGCACTGTTGTCTGAAACATTCCTAAACAGCCAGGAAGCCAAGACTGTGATCCAGAAAAGATAAAATATTTCACAGTGCAGCCTGGTGGTTTTACAAGCTAAGATAGTATAGAGTGGGTCTCATCTATAGTCAGCAAAAGTAATTTACAG